TAACGCATTTCTTTCGTTTTTTTTCAGTTTTAAGTATTTTTTATGTTTAATTAAAAATTTTTCTTAAAAAGTGGACAAAAAGGGGTTAATGTTATTTCTCATGAAAACAAAAAATAAACATTTTACAAACATTCACAAAAACACAAAATTTGATGGTAATATTTTATTATTAAGTTAAATTTAATAATAATCAAGCAAATAATTTTTTTATGTAGATGTACAGTACCATATGAAAATTTGGAAGCCCTTCCAATTCCAGCATATAAAGGTATGCAAGCAAGATATAATCAAAATAAACGACTTCTAACAACTTAACACTGTGTTTTCTAATAACAACCCACGAAAAACCTTTTTAACGAGTGTTATGTCACTATTAAATTCCACAAGTACTTTCGACCTCCGCCGAGGTCGAAAGTACTTGTGCCGACCTCTGCCTGAAGCAGACCTTGGCGGAGGTCGAAAGTACTTGTGGAATTTAATAGTGACATAACACTCGTTAAAAAGGTTATTCGTGGGTTGTTATAATCAAAATATTTTGAAAATGATAATTTGCCTTATATTTTATTCATAATTTGGCTGCAGTTTGAAAAAATTTAAAACCTATAAATTCCCAATGTTGTCCATCTCTGTGTCGTGTCTGTCTGTCCTTCCTTAATCTCAAGGCTCCACTAGCATAAAAGAAAGCATAAAACCCTTGTTGTAATTACGTTTAATCATGTGGTCATGATATTTTACACCAAAACAGGGCATAAAACAAGCATAAAGGAAGTGAGCATTGTCCAACTTTCAACACAAATACGTCCATAAAACTATCAATCAGAAATAATGGAATTTTACATAAATATGACATTGTGGAAAAATTGGTGGAAAATGAGCTTTTATGCACATTCTCTCATGGCTACTTCAAAAAGGCCCAGAATAGATCTTTCCAGATCTATTCTGGACCTTTTTGAAAAAAACAATTCAAAAAACATTCAAAATATCTATGACAAAGCATCCTGATTATAAGAATTGATGCCTAAAACAATTGATATGGATGGCCATAGGAAAATTCAATTTTGGTGAGTATATAATAAAGCTAAGCATAACCTGCTAAGTATAATATTTTAGCATGCAGTATAGTATCTTAATAATATGATAGTAAAAATATCATCTTTACTTTCATATATTAACTTTTATTATGTTTGTAATTATAGTAAAAAAGTTATTCTTTTTAAATATGTATCACATATATAAAAATTTTACAAAAAAAGTTTTTACTTATGAAGTTAAATGGAAAAATTTATTATTATAAAAATCTGGGTTTAATCACTCTGGATATTAATGAATTAAAATTTGCAATATTATAAAGAAAAAAAAAATAATTATCTGAAATACCCAATGTGCATTTTGCATATTGGATATTAAACTTTTATGCATTATAACCTTTTGAATAATTGGATTTATTACTTACTCATAATAATAATCCTGGTCTTTAAAATGAAGTTCACACAAGTGCATTGTAATAACCGAAAGAACTTCTAATACGAAAGAGAGGATTCATCCAAGAATGGTGATTGAGTTTCTTTCATTTCTTGAGTGGAGAAAGTAAAAAAAAATGGCCTGCAAAAAGCTGAAACATCATATTAGCTTGTATCTGATCCATTTAAAATGTTTTGAGCACACAGTTATGAACAATCAAGATAAAAAGTTACGATGCTTTTTGATCAGTTTACACACACAGAAGTGTTTACTTTCAACAATTGGGCAGTACTATCACTGTAAAAACTTGGACAGTGGAGTTGGATCCCCCATTACAATCCAAACACAAATAGGTCACATGATTAAAAGTAATCGTGGCAAGGGTTTTACATAGGTGTATAAGCTTAAATCCACTGTTTTTTAGTCGGAAAAACACGTTTTTTTCTTAGAAAGTAAAGACAAATTTATTCAAAGTACTTTCCCTCACTAGTGACACATTTGTTCCATCTCTCGGGCAATGTGTAGATACCATGCCAAAAAAATTTCTTCTCTTTCGAGGCAAACCACTCAAGTCATTTTCGGACGTCTTCGTAAGAATCGAAGTGCCGCTCAGCAAGCACGTGGCCCATCGATGAAAAGAGGTGATAGTCGGAAGGGACCAGGTCTGGTGAATAAGCGGGATGGGGTAGCACCTCCCAGTTGAGTGTCTCCAAGTAGTTTCGGACCAATGTTGACACATGTGATGGTGCANTCCTTTAGTACACGATTGTCCTCCTTCCACGTGGTCCTTTCTTCTTTGTTCTTCCCCTTCCTTCCTCTGCCAACGACCCGACACGAACCCAGGTGAAACGAAGAAAAAAGTCCTCTAAGCACGTGGTCTTTCCTTTTTATAACGCATGCCATGTCCTGACGAGGGAACATACGTCATGGCAGGGGAGCCAATCACAGGCTCACACTACTACACCTCAAGAAGTAGTACGAACTTTACAGAAACAGTCTACAATTACCAATGCGCGACAAAATACAGTATATAGATACATATATATTTAATGATAACATACAAACATTTAGTGGAAAACACTACATGGTGATCATCTTCTACAAATAGGCAAAACAGCTACCCCCCACCAAAGTCAGGTGGGGGAGAGTATCACTCAGTCATTCTAAGAAGTGAACTCTGATTTTACGACTCAACACGTAGTTTCTTCTTGTTAAATAAAATTTGTAGTCTAATTTTATAAATTTGGGAGTGCTTCAAATATGACGTTAAAATGGTTTAATGTCGTTACAAATGGGTTTTTTAACATTATCTAGTATAGTAAAATCGTGGGACCGATAAAAATTTTACATTATATTAGTGTTGTTGTTACATCCAATGACATTATAATCAGGTTAAACTGTATATTGTTTGTGCAAAATAAAAAAATAATTTCAGACAATACAATAGCCACAATTATTTTCAAAAATGGGGAAATTTTCGTTACGCATTGACAAAAATTCAACCCAAGCCGACACGCAACGGAGATAAATTTTGAAATTGGATAGGTTAATTTCATTGAAAATTTATTGTGGACAACCTCGTGGTCGTGGCCGGTGAAGTTTGAACAATTGTGCCCAAAAGCCAAAGAAGATTGGAGAATGAGAACGAGACCCGCCTTGAGTGTCAAAGTGATTCCGCTTAGTAGTGAGTCTCGAAGACAGTCTTATTCCAAATTCAGTTTTGCCGTTTTACTTGTTTAAATTCTAAAACATTCTGCAATTTTTAAAAGTTGTTTTAGTTAAGTAAAATTATAAATTTGAGAGAATTCCTAAGAATGTAATACCAATAAAATTTATTTTGGAAATATTTTACCTTTAATTTTGATTGTGTAACAATGGTTAATTTTTTATTAACTTTTCTTTTAGTTTATTAATATAAAATTTGAGAAGTTTATTATGGAACAAATTTAATAAACTTATATTTTTTGTAACAGATTGCAAGATTTATTAATAAACAATAAGTTAAAAAATAACTGAGCTCTTTTTCCTTCCTTTTTGGAAGTCATATAGTTTCATGGTTATTGATTAAAATTATTAAATTGCACAAACTATGAATGATGTGATAGATATGACATGACAGGTTCCCAACCTTTTTTGCACATTGACCCCTTTTAAGAAAAACTTTTCTATCAATTTCCTTCAATATTCTATACTATATATTATCAAGGTTATATTATATATACAGGTAAATATATTTTTACCTGTATATAATTTTACATAATTTTTAAAAGACATCTTTCTACATTTATTTAAGAGCAAAAATTCTGTACAATTTAATATTTTTAAATGAATTCTTTTTATACAGTATTTGCAAAGTTTTATCAATTCCTTAATGGGTGAATACCAATGCTGTTGAGAAACCCTGGGATATGATATGAATATAAGTAAACATTAACACTGTTCCTAAAAAACTAAACATGTTTGGATGTATTTTAACGTATATGGGTTATCTGTACAAAATTATGATATTGTTTTTTGTACTTTGCTTTATAATAATAGTAATGTGCACAATTTTAAATATCAGGTTGTAAAGGTAAAATTTAGATATTTTGACAAAAAAAATTTTATTGACATTTTAATGACTACAGTTCAGCCTGGTAAGTAATCACCATCAATATTAATCACATTTCTATCTAAGATAACTACTTCCAACCAATTAACTCCTCGAATAATAACTATCCACGAAAAAACCTTTTTTTACGAGGGTTATTTTCACTATTCTATCTTTTCCCCAAACTTTCAATCCCATTAGCATAGAATAACAGGTTTTCTTTTGAAGAAAATCTCAAGCATTGGGTATCATCATTGAACTTATATTGACAATATGGTTCTTCAGGGTACAAAGTAGATGGTAGTCATTAGGTGGCAAGTTGGGGCTGTAAAATGGATGAAACAATCTCACAACCTAGACTGGCCAGCTTCTCTAAGGTCATCTTTGCTCAGTGTGCTGCCATGTTGACATGGCAATATCATACTGTAAGTTTTTTGGACAAAGTTCTTTGATAAAGTTCTATGGTGTTCAAATAATCTAGTTTTTCATAGTACAGTTCTTTCACCATAGTGATGATGGTGGAAGCAGCTCTATTATGTCAAACAAATGCAGATTGCTTTTTTACTATCAGCCCTTTGACATTTGCAATAGTTGGTTGACCTTTGTTCACTTGTGAACACCATAACAAACATTTTGCAGATAAGATTGTTTGCCTTTGTGTGTTGTGTCACTGTTGAAGTAATAGTGACAGCATAAGAATGTGTTCTTTTGAAAGTTTCATATTGTCAGACATATTTCATTGGAAATAGAAGCAACAATTTCCAATGAAATATGTAATGAAAGGCCCTTTGGTTATTCTACTTCTAGAGCATTCAATGTAGGTTTATAACATTTTTTCTAGTTTGTAAAAAAAATCAGAATCTCTAACTTTTACCTTTACAACCTGATATAATAAAAAAAATTAAGAAATATAGTTTAAACTCAAGTTTTTTTTATTCCTAATTATTAGAACAAATGAGATGTGAACAAATGATTATACCTGATTTTGCTCCAGGGGTGAAATGTTTGGTAAGTTGTTATGTTCTAATTTTTAATGTTTTTTTAATTTAATCATCATTGTGTGCAGAATTTTATTTCTGTGTTTATATATATACAGTGAAATTCCATTAACTTTGCATCTGGTATGCTGGCAAACCTTTCATTTTTCATGGCAAACTGGCAAAAGCCAGCATTCAGAACATGTCTTGGGGGTTATCAGTGAATTAACCAGAAACATCAGGATTACCTGCCTGTTAGTTAAACTACAGCTAAAAAATAAAAATTCACACCACTTGCAACTGGGGTAAACTTGATATAAAAATGTCACCAAAACCAAATATCCAGCAGAAATAAAGGGAATAGAGCCAACGTTTTCACCCATGTTGAACAGACATCATCAGGCTAAATGACCCCACAGCTGTTGAAACAATGGGATTACACAGGTGAAGAGGAAAGGTGAGGTAAGAGAGAGAGGAGGGGAAGAGGATAGTAAGTTTATAATTTGTAGAATGACTTCCACACGGGAAGGAATCTACATCGCAAAGTTAATAATGGTATATTATTTAGTGGCCTTATGAATTTCAACTTGCTCTAAATGTCTGAGATGTACAGGTGGATTTGTACAGTTTTACATGCAAAGATAACAGAAATTGTATCCACAGAGTCAAAAACACCAGAAAAATTTCTGCTGACTGATAAGGCAGCATATTTGATAAACCAGCACCACATTGGTCCCAACAATGCTGGATTAACTGAATTTCACTGTATTACGTAATGTTTTTGTTAGGCAAATAATGATTTCATTAGAATAAATTAATATTCTAAATGTGACTCGGTAAACATAATAAAATACAGTGGTACCTTGTACTTTGATTTTAATTTCAAACATTCCAGAGTAGAGATTTAATCTAGAGTTTGAATAATGCATGTACTGTACATTCAAACTGTGCATGCAGGTGAAAAATGCTTCTGCTGCATAAATATTATCTGTTGTACACTCAATTGCACATTACACTCACTGTGAAAGCATCTTTTGCATTTGCTTATATATAATCCTACCTATTAACCATGGCATCCAAGAAGAGTAGAAGCAATAAAGCATAAGAGGAAGGTAGTATCAACAATTGAAATGAAAAAAAATTTGCAATTGGAATATGTTGACTGGAATATCATCAGTCACCAAACCAATTTATCTAACTTATTCATTTCAAAATTTGCGGATAAATTAAATTGGGAATACATATGGAAAAATTACATATTCCCAATTTAATTTATCCGTGATCTTTACATAACTTGAATTTTATGTAAGTCAAGTTATGTAAAGATCTACGGTCTGCATTATTTATGTAATTAGGGATATTTGTAAATGCCATATTGGAATAATTTTGTTGTTTTACCTGTTTCATTCATTAGAACTAATGATTGATGTGTTAATTAATTTGGAAAGCTTAATGGACGAACTCATTATGGAACATGGTGTCATCTGCCATTTCCCATTAACCTTTTGACTTTGCCCCTTCTTGTTTTGAGGACTTCCATCATTGTCTCCTCATGTCATAAATAGCTAACTAATGTTTTTAGCGTTGAAACCAGTTGTAAAGATATATTTCATCGTTTTCCCTAGTTTTATCAATTTTTTTTTCAGATGGATTCCATTTTATTATCGGTCAACTAGAATCTGATGCATGTTTTATAATTTATTTTGAATAATTTCAATCAGATGTCATTTTTTGTTCTTTAACATAATTGATAACTGTAAGAAAAATCAGACCCATTCGAAATGGGAGAAATTGGGACTGGAATAGCAAATTTTATTCAGGATTTAGTGACTTTGTTGTGTAGAAGTTTGACTGTATTTTATAATTTCTTGTATGTTTTGCTTATACTTATGGTATCTATCATTGTGTGACCATTATGTCAGCAATGCCCAAGTCGGGACTGATACCACTGTGACTGTTACATTTGTATGCAAGTCTCACGTGAGTGGTTGCATATGTGAATGGTCAGGTTTGGGATGGAAGGAGGAGTTGACAGCATGTCAGAAATAAAGAACTTCACTACACATTTAAACATCAAATAACAACTATTTATTTGTTTAAAGTTAGAAGTATCCACTAATTCTATCCTTTTGTATAAGTGTGTATTCTTACAAGGATGCCGAACTGGGTGTGTGTGTGTTTACAATTTCAGACATGAGTTGATAACTATCTGGATGGTTAGTTGTGATGATCATGACTTCTCAAGAAGGGAAGGCTTGATTCAGGTCAAGAAGGGTCTTGTTTCATTGATAATGTTCAAGTACTTGTTTGTCAAGGGGTTGATGAAAGTTCGATGGAAAAATTGACAGGAGTTCGGGAAAAGCAGTGGTCAAAGACAGCAATGAGGTTAACACACACAATTTTAGGCAGGCGAACTTCGTTATCTGCCCTCTTACCTTTTATTCAGGGTCCTCCCTCTGCTTCTCTAATGCCCATTTTTGGTAAAGTTGATGGTTGCTCCAATCTGCAATATTCCCCCCCCCATTTCCCTGAATAAGTAGTTTTTCGGAAGCTATGTCACTCGTGGAGGAAGCATTATCCATGGGAAAATTTTGTGAAGTTCCTTGACTGTGTTTGTGAAATTGAATACTACTAATCCTTTATTTTATTTATTTATTTTTTTACTGAAAAAATAAGATTGAAATCGTCAAATTTACACTAGCCCAGGTTCTCACATCCACATAATAATAATGATTTTAAGAGTGGGTTGAGTTCTATTGGATGTCTTGTGAGAGCCTGAACAGAAATTGATTTTGTGGTCCAAATGTTTGCAATCAAATGAGACATTAAAGATCTCAGCTTTCAGAGAGAAAATAAAGTAAGATTTAAAGGTCTTGTTTGAACAAAGAAGTTTTTTTATATAAAACAGGAAACAAAAGATGAATAGTGTGGAAAAGACAAGTTGAGGGAAACCTAGTTAGAGAGGAATTGTGTTTAGTCTCAAAGTTGATCCCTCCAAAAGGTTTCAGATTGTCACCAGGTGATGAGGGGAGGCCTTTAAAAAGGAGGAATTGGGGGTAAAACATATAAAGAAACGTGATTCAAGGATGCAACATTCTTGGTTTGTAGTTCTCCCATCTCAAACTTTTGTTGCTTTTTTGATTTGTGATTTTAACAGAAGATTTCTTTACATCATTGGAATAAACTTCCCTCTGCCATGTTGCCCTGTTCACCCAGGTTCACCTTTTTGCCACAGAATCTCACTCGAAGCCATGCACCACAGGACTGAAGAAAAGTGATGATCAGGACATTTGGACTTGCTTCTTGCTCCTTAAGCTGTGTCACAATGTAATTTAAAGAATTGTTGTAAGAAAACTTTTATATTTTAATAAACGGTTAACAATGGAAAACCTGTCTCAGAGGATCTTTTTACACTCACACGCGATAGTCATGACCTCTTGACTGTTCTAATTAACACATTGAGTTGGCCAGCCTCACAGTGGTGTCAGTGAAGTGGGATTTTTAAGTTCCCAATCTCCATCCATCATCAAGCCTCAGTCTGAAGAGAGGAAGGGGATTACAGAAACTTGGACAAACTGGGACGAGAGGGAGAGTAAAAATTTCAAACAAACTGCAGACATAATTTATGGATAGCCCCTATAATCTATTACAATTGTATTTAGACATTTTATTTATCAATATAAATAACTTCATGGTATTCCAACAAATTATACTGAAATTTGAATTCAAATATTAAAATTTTTTCAATACTTTGAGTCAAATCCATTTATAAAACATTCTTGTTTAAACTTATATTAGCATTGAAATTTAAATATAAACTCGAATTTAAAATGTTAATTTCTAGGTTCGCATTGAAAAAGATCAAGCAGAACCTTTTCATGCTCATATTCAAGAGATGGATTCTAATCAAGGTCCGGTCACTGTTTTTGTTGAAGAACTTGGTGAAAAGTAAGAATTAATTTTTTTATACTGAAGTGTTGAAAAATAAACTAATAAAATTGAATTGCTGCAACTTTCTATAAATTATTGTATGTTGTTTTAGAGTTAAATATATAGTAAATATGTAAATTGTTGATATTTAGTAACTGATAAATCTGAACTTGGTTTATCAGTTTTTGATTAACATGTTACAACAAAATACAGTGGGTGATCGGTTAACGAACAAATTGGATAATGAACACCTCACAGAACAAACACAAGAAGCGACATAAAAGAATGAATACAGATTGGTCTTCTCTTGCCTTCAGGCAACAATACGAAATTTTTTGGAGTGCAGGAGACATTGACGTTCAACCCAGTATATACCGATCGGATAGTATCCCCCCCCAAACTTTGAAACTCTCCCTTGTAATTTTAGCCTTTTATATTTCTGACAGAAACAATTCTTTTATGTTTTTTTCTGAAAAAGCAGATTTATGCCAATATCTACTATTAACTTAATTAACCTTTTCTGGGTTGTTCTTCAGGTAATTCAGCTGGATCAAACTCGAATACAAAAATATGAACAAATCCAAATGCTGACGCATTTCAAATGTTCAGTTCATTTGCGTATTCCGTCACATGACTTGTTTGAAAGTGCTCGAACTTAATAATCCATATCCAAACGTTGGTGAAAGATATATCAAAATACATAACATACGTGAGTGTTAGATAAAACACAAATAATAATCTTGCATGTTCCCCATCAAATATTTTTCTTTACAACTTTAATAAATAGTAATAAGGAACAGATTGTTTGTTTGTTAACCGATCACCCACTGTATTCAAAGTTAAATGTGTAGCTTTTGCAGTCATAAAATAGCAAAATAGATTATCTGAAATGTATCCCATTTTGGCTAAATGAGTGATGTCGTTATTCTGGGGTCATATTATGGTAATCTTCAACCAACTTCAGTATGCATGCAACCTCAAATAAATTTTTTTGAACCTTTACTAGACAATGATCAACATTTTTTCTAATTTTGTAATTATTATTTTTCAATATATTATATTGCAATGAATAAAATTTTATTTCTACATACATGGTAAGCTGATTTAATCAAGCAATTATTTTCATCAATCTAGAAGGATAAACAAAGAATATTACTAAATTTAAATTTACAAATTTCAGAAATTTTACCCACACTCGAGTCTGACTCGAGCAAGGTTTATAGCGTTAAAAAAATCCAGGCATTTGGGCCCCCGAAAAATTTTTTTTTTTTATTTTTGGAATGTTTTTAGGTCCCCAAATTTTTTCAAAAGTTTTTTCCTGCGCAAAAAAATTTTATAGCGATTTTAATCAATCTTTAATGACGCACGCTTCACGCTTTTTAATGTTTTTAATGGGAGTTTTTTATCAAAATTAATTAATCGTTCTAAAGTTGTAGTGCAGGGATTTGACTTCGGTAAAGTTATTTAAAGCTACTTTCTGATGTCAAAAACGACCTCCGATAGTTTTTTAATTTTTTTAATTAATAGATTTTATTATATATATGTTTAATTAATTAGGGGGGGTCGGAAATCGCAATAAAAATTATAATTTTTTTAAAAATATTTAAAAATATAGGCCTAGTTACAAGTCACCCTACTTTAAACCCTTCTCCTCCTGAGACGTCTATGAGAATGTCCCAGGAAATCCAACTCTAGCTCTGTTCAAGGTCATCCAGATGTGTAAACAATGACTCATCTGTGTTAAATTTCACAGAAAGGCGAGACAAAGGAAACTAAAGATGAAGCTTTTTAACCAAAATTAACGCATTTCTTTCGTTTTTTTTCAGTTTTAAGTATTTTTTATGTTTAATTAAAAATTTTTCTTAAAAAGTGGACAAAAAGGGGTTAATGTTATTTCTCATGAAAACAAAAAATAAACATTTTACAAACATTCACAAAAACACAAAATTTGATGGTAATATTTTATTATTAAGTTAAATTTAATAATAATCAAGCAAATAATTTTTTTATGTAGATGTACAGTACCATATGAAAATTTGGAAGCCCTTCCAATTCCAGCATATAAAGGTATGCAAGCAAGATATAATCAAAATAAACGACTTCTAACAACTTAACACTGTGTTTTCTAATAACAACCCACGAAAAACCTTTTTAACGAGTGTTATGTCACTATTAAATTCCACAAGTACTTTCGACCTCCGCCGAGGTCGAAAGTACTTGTGCCGACCTCTGCCTGAAGCAGACCTTGGCGGAGGTCGAAAGTACTTGTGGAATTTAATAGTGACATAACACTCGTTAAAAAGGTTTTTCGTGGGTGGTCATAATGTTTAGTTTTCTATTTAAAGAACTGAAAACTCTTAAATTCTTATATTTAATCAATTAAACTTTTTATTCCAAAAAAGATATTTCTATATTATGATACTTTGTATTATTCTGCTAGGGTTTCTTCATTTTTTTAATGAAATTATACTGACATACTGTCTTGATTCTCTCTTCATTTAAATTTATGATTTTAGTTTAAACAGGTGTAAGAACACACTATAAATGTATTTAAAAGAATATTAACATACCAAAAAACTTGCAAACCTTTATAATGCAGTCTATTTTTTAACATACCAAACGTTTTTGGTCAAATTAACTTCAAGATCTTGAAGAAGGTTAGTTTATTTGACCGAAAACGTTTGGTACGTTAAAAAATAGACTGCATTATAAAGGTTTGCAAATTTTTTGGTGTATTATAGCAGTGCAGTTAGAGATATAGCGAATATTAACATAATTGAGATTTTCTTAATGATGATGCACATATTTTAAAAATCTTTTTCTAGGATAAAATCAAATATCAGCTTTTACTTCAGGAAATACAGGGTGATTCTAAGTTATTGTTGAGATTTGTGTCCTGTAATTTTTCACCTGAAAAAATAAAGCAAAGCAGCTTACTGAATATGAAAGTACAGCTCAAAACGTTTTATTATATATAGCATCAATATTGCAGAATTTAAAGGATTGAAATTGTTTAGTGGCCTGTACAATTTCAAGCAATAATCAATTTCCCTCCAAGTGTTATCCAACATTTGCAGTGTAACACTATCACGGAAAGAATTCCAAACTTCAGTCTGTTGAGGAAAGTCACAAGGATCTTGTAAATGGTGCCCATCACGTATCCCATGGAAAGAAATCAAGTGGCATAATATTGGACGTACACTGAATTGGTTCACTACACCCAAACTGCACCCAGAAAACGTATGTTGAGAAATTCTTGGATAGTAAGAGTTTGGATGTGGTGGTGTGCCATCTTGCCGAAATGCCACACGTGACCAACGATCTTCCAACCATGGTAACAGATATTGCCGTAGTGTGTCTAGACTAGGTGTCCCCAAAGTGGTCGATAAGAGTTCTCCAAGGGTCGATTAATACCAAAGAAGATCAATTAAACTGTAGGAAAAAAATTGAATATTCCAATAAAAATTTGAAATATGGATATGATCAACATTACTGACTACCCTAGTTATAACTTGAGTTTTGCCTTAGCCTACACCGCTTTAAGCATGTGTTACTCTGTTTTCACGCATCTGGCAACTGTACTAGTGCTGCAAACATGTTATGAACACTGGTAGTTCATTATACACAGACATATGTTGCACTGTTACACTCTGTTAGAGTTGTCACTAAGTATTTTATACCTAAATGTAGATATTTTGTCCTTTACAGAGAAAATATTGTAATATATCAAAAATCATTAATATAGTACAGAAACGTTTGCAAGGAAAAAATGTTACAATTATTATGGCCTTTCAAGTAAAAATGGAGCTATTTAAATCTTCGCTGGCACGATCCGATTTTAAATATTTTTCAAACTTGCAAGTACTAAAAGAAAATGAAAAGGTTTCCGACCGTGATTTGCAGATATATATTAAACATCTTGATAAATTAAGAGAAGACTTTAAAGCACGTTTCGAAGACTCGGAGAATATGCATGTTCCCGAATGGTTTGCTAATGCATTTGATATAAAAATAGATAATGAAAGTAGTGAACCTGGCTTAGAAGATGAACTGAGTGAGATATATGTAGATTTCAAAGCTAAAGCATTGTTTAAAAATAAAAACCTCAGTGAATTTTGGAGCAATAACAATATTGTCCTAAATATCCCAAGCTCAGAGCAGAAGCCGAACCTTTCTTACTTGCATTCCCAACTTCATACATGGTTGAAGCTGNTAACCAATTCCTGTCTTCCGTCCAAAGCGATTTTGTCTTGGGAAAGATGTTGATGGTTTGCCTGGATCAACCCACGATTTCTTGCATTTAGGATTCTCAAAATATATCCATTTCTCATTGCCAGTTACAATCTGATGCAGAAACGACTTTCTATTTTGTCTTGCAAGCAAGATTTCGCATGTGTTTTGGCGTCGCTCCATCTGCCTATCGTTCAATTCATGAAGCACCCATTTTCCGATCTTCTGAATCTTTTCCATGGCACATAGACGCATGGAAATGGCTGGTTGAGTAACACCCAATTGCTCGGCAAGCATTTTTTGCGATTGGGTATTGTCCTCATCCAAAAGAGCCTGCAGTTGATGGTCCTCAACCTTCCTGGGCCAATTTTTACGCTTCTTGTCGCTCAGGTAAAAATTTCCATCTTTGAACTGACGAAACCAATCTCTGCATGTGGTTTCCGATAAAGCTCTGTCTCCACAAGCATTCAATGTGCTTTGGCAGCCGATTTCTTCAAATTAAAGCAGAAAAGCAAAGCTTGCCGCATATGCTCTTTTTCTAGCACAAAAGTAGATATGATTACAAAAAAAAATATATGTTGTTGTATGAAATATCTGATGATGTGCACTGATTAATGTTGACAGACGTCAAAATCATCAAAAAAACAATATGGCATCGTCATGGTAACTTAATATGCTCGCTTACGCCATCTATTTGCAAACAGCGGATTTAAGCTTATACACCTGGTATGCTAGTGGAGTCTTTGCCTTAGATGAAAATCGAGCCCAGATATGAAAAGCTTAAGGGCAGGAGGCCGTGATTAACTGTATATGGACTTATGGTTTAGATCAAAATTCACATTATTTCAATTCAAAATTTTTCCTCAGGAAGGAGTTAAATGACATGCATGACTGTTGTTATCAGGAAAAGTGTGATGTATAGGAGCAAGACATGACTAATTCAAGATATAGAGGATACATTTTAAATTAAATAAATTAAAAATTTCAGCCTAGCATTGTGAAGATGTCACAATTTTTGTTCATTGTTATTATAGTATTACCTTGGCAAGGTATTGGATCAAAACCATATAGAATGTTGGGAGAATATTTAAGATCATCATTTCAAGGTAAGTTGAAATTTCAAAACTTTCTTGTGAAATAAGATCAATGTGTTAAATGATTATTGTAATAAGAAAAACTACTGTGATGAAGCTTAAAATACAATCGTTTGAGTAGTTTTGAGCAGAATACAGCAAGTCCTCACTTAATTTTGTCAATAGGTTCTTAGAAGCTGTAACAATAAGTGAAAATGTATAACAAAACTAATTTTACCAAGATTAATTGATATAATCAAGATGTAATTTGGTTAATAATAATCTACTTGAATTGTTTGCAACCTTCAGCATATCCTGTTAAACTTCAATAACTTCAATCATTTAATCTAATGTAAATGTGTACATCATACTGTATCATGGCAATTTTGTTAAGTTTTTCTGTTATAATAATAAAAGGCTAGTGGTGCTGGTGTCAACTCTTCAAAGCTATTAGTCAGTGATCTTGTTTTACTCTTTTCTTTCCAGAATTGAACTTAGTTTTGCGTGAAAGATTACACAATTTGTCTATCTTTGTGGTGTAACTGGTTATGTGAACAATCTCCAAGAAGCTTAACAAGGCTAACATTTTCTTCCTCATAAAATTAATTTTACTGTTTATAAAAACAATTTGATAATGATGATTGTAAATGATTACAAATGTACTTGTATCTTTCTTCAATAATAATGTAATGAAGTAAATTAAGTGAGGTCTTGTATTTGTAGAAGTGGTGTTAATAAGAAAAAAACACCTTTAAAAATCCAGCAAATAAATTTACTAATAAAAACGTTTTCAATTGGTTTAACTGATCTTCCTCAGTTAAGATGAAATAAAATATGAAAATAGAACATAAATTTAAAAATAAACAATAACCAGAATTCTAAAATAAATACATAAATGAAATTGTAGTTGCGAATAATAAATAAATAACTACAGAAATAAATTAAACAATAAAAAGTAAGAACAGACGAATAAACATCCCTTAAAAAAATTTTACTTTTATAAAAAAGACTGCCATGCAGTACCCAAGTTGTTGGTCTCTCTATGGTTGATGTAACCGATTATTTTATTTTTTCACTTTAAAAAAACTCCAATCTTTCCAGTATCTGATAGTATTTATATTTGATGTTGGTTTGATGATTGATGCCTGCTCCCATTGCACCTGAATGTACTGGTGTTGTGTGTAAGCTGCCAGCATTGTGTTATCAAGATTTTTATTAATTGTATATTTGTTCTTTAAGCCATTGCTGTAAGTTGCACATAGTGGAACCCACATAGACCAGTTTTGATTTGAAACATTGGTCGATTAATGGAGTGAATCCCTGCATCCAAATTATGGTTATATGGGTTTTTTTATCGTTCCTTAAAATTCTGAATATTGTTGAGTTGCATTGATATACATCCTAGAGATTATTAGCTCTGGCCGCTTTCCTCTTAAAAAAGGAAATATAATTTAAAACCATTCTTTGTTCCTGGACTCCCAATGCATTCTGATGTTTTACTGTTTGAAAGGTTGCGATCAACTTCTGAATCATTTTCTATTGGATAACCCTTTAAGACATAATTCAGTTCTGTTATGGTGTCTGGTACAATGTGTATATACCTTCTTTTTTTTTTTTTTGTTTGTAAAATTTCGCCGGATGAAAATTTATTTTAATCGCAAAAGACACAATCTGTCCAAAAATTATTTTTTGAAACCACCATTTATTCTAATCATGTGTTCCAGAACACCATCGACAACCCGACCTTTCTTTGTAGGCTACTAGGTCGTCAAGCTAAAACATTCTTTTAAAAAACACACAAAAATATCCAATCAAAACATTAAATTTTTGGACAGACTGTGTCTTTTGTGATTAAAATAAATTTTCATCCGGCGAAATTCTACAAACAAAACTTTTTTAGAAGTAATTTGTCACCAGAGGGATAAGGTCAAAATTTACATTTAACAGCGCATTTATCAAGTGAATATAAGGACTGAAATTCCCTAACTGGAAAGGATGCAAATTCAAGACATCTGTAAGGCCGCCAGTTCCAATTCTTTACTTTTAATGTTTTAATTGGATATTTTTGTGTTTTTTAAAAGAATGTTTTAGCCTGACGACCTAGTAGCCTACAAAGAAAGGTCGGGTTGTTGATGGTGTTCTGGAACACATGATCAGAATAAATGGTGGTTTCAAAAAATAATTTTTGGACAGACTGTGTCTTTTGTGATTAAAATATATACCTTCTTATCAAGGATCTAAAGGCTGCCAATCTGATGTGGAGAGGATCCACAAAATTATGTGGAATTAAAATGGATTGAAAACAAGGTTTCTTGTATATCTTGGTCCAAATTTTGCCATATTTGCAAGAGATGGAAAGGTCCAAAAAGTTTACTGTTGTTTCACTCTCCTGGTCTAATTGTAGGAATAATCCATAGGGGTTATCATTGATCGCTTTTAAAAATTGTTGCAAATGCAGTGGTGTTAATATCAAAGAAATTCAAATATAATCTGAACCTATACAGTTATGTTAGATTATAGTTGAAATGTCTTCTGTATATCCAAATGGACTTGTTGATTCAATTAGCATCTCCTAATCCTGATGATTTTAATCATGAATCACACCTAATTCAAACTTTCCAGCAAAATTTTAAAGATAGAACGTTTTTGGCCACCAAATTTATCGGCCTTCCTCAGGAAATACAAACTGAAAAAACCGTTCTATAAATAGAACGTAGCTGCCCTTGTAAATTTTTGAAAGAACGAAAATGGCTGCGACATATCGTGTATGATGTATATTACGAGTCTAGATAGTGTTTCGACACAGATGATACATGAATGACATCAGTGTTGATGCAGGTTCCATTCCTGCTCGCCTTGTAGATCTCCACTGCTTCTAAAATTTTAATACTTTGCCTGTCGAAGACCTTGTGTATTAGCTTGGCCTGGTCCCAACATGGGGAAATCCCTGGATCGCTGGCATACCGTGCTAAAGCCGTATTGATGTTGCCTTTTAGCACGTCATTTGTGATCCTTAGTCTGACTAAAGGGACACAAATATGACGTGCTAAAAGGTAACATCAATACGGCTTTAGCACGGTATGCCAGCGATCCAGGGATTTCCCCATGTTGGGACCAGGCCAAGCTAATACACAAGGTCTTCGACAGGCAAAGTATTAAAATTTTAGAAGCAGTGGAGATCTACAAGGCGAGCAGGAATGGAACCTGCATTAACACTGATGTCATTCATGTATCATCTGTGTCGAAACACTATCTAGACTCATAATATACATCATACACGATATGTCGCAGCCATTTTCGTTCTTTTAAAAATTTACAAGGGCAGCTACTACGTTCTATTTATAGAACGGTTTTTTCAGTTTGTATTTCCTGGGGAAGGCCGATAAATTTGGTGGCCAAAAACGTTCGATCTTTAAAATTTTGGACTTTTATTTTGCTGGAAAGTTTGAATTTAGGTGTGATTCATGACTGTGGTTCCAGTTTATGGTGAGGCTGTGATGGTTTTAATATCTTGATTTGTTCTATAACATATGAACGTTCTTAACCAGGACTTACTACACAGTGAAAATATATAATCTTTTTTACTCAAGTCCCTAACATGTTCTATAACTCTATTGATTATTTCTGTGCTACTGTAATGTATTCCATGATGTCAACTTTTTTATTTTTACAGGTACAGTAACAGCATTAGCATAAATCAAATAACTTTAAAATCAAACACACAACAAAATCATAAAACTCTAGCTAAGTTTTGAACAAGATTGATCAATCAACTAACTTTTATTGCATATAGGATTAGTTTCCCATTGCTTCAGGGGTAATATGGTATTTATATAAAAATTGTTAGTTGTAACATACAAGTTTCTTATACAGTCGACCCCCTATAACGCGGTAGATACGTTTCACTTTATAAGAATTTCACATTGTTGTAATCCTTAAATACATGAGCCAATCACAGCCCGGCACGTGTGCTGTTTACGGACTATGGCTGTTTGAAAGGTTTTCTTTCATAAAATTAATCGATTCTAGACTAATTTGACTCAACATTTCCAAAACACACAATTTTTTCGGAATAATCCATATAAACTATGCTATAAACAAAAAATTGTAGGATTACTTACCAAGTGTGCAAAGTTCGACGCCATTGCTTAAGCTTGTTTTTGTTGCGGAGCAGCACACCAAACAGCAGGCGCGTTTTCTGATAAGTTATTTTTCTGCAAAAAATTCGTTTAACTTTGGAGACATCATTAATAGAAATAATTTTTATGGCCGTTGAATAAGAAATGTTTTTTCACAAGAAATGTATAAAATTACAGTACTGTATTAGACTTACAGTACCTAATTTATATACTGTACAGATGATAGTAAACTCAACTTACCCACCTAAACTCTCTGTAGCCTGTAAGTAGTTCGGCTTCTTGTCCACTATTGGTCCAGATGTGAGGCTCTGGACAGGTCCGAACCCTCACTAAAATTCGCGGAAAATAATTGTTTTAGAGAAAAAAATATAGTAGTTAGAAATAGATTTTTATTTTATGAAAACGCGACACTAACTTTCAAACAAAAGAAAAATGTAAGTCCGTCGACCATTTTCAGTTGGAGATCGAAGTTTAATTCGATCTCCAACTGGAAATGGTCCAGAGCCTCTCACAGATTTGACCAATCCTGTTGCGACACGAGTCAGCGATGACATTTTACCACATTTTACGAGTCTGTTAGTGTCTTTATACAAATACAGTTGCAATTTTTCGCCGCGACATATGAATCTGCATTATAGGGGGGTCTACAGTATTTTCTAACCATTAAACTTAAAAATTAAGGCTATAGCTTTATTTTTAATAGTTAATTAATTCAATCTAAATTTAGTTAACTGTTGTGTTTTCATTTATAAACACAAATAACATACCTCATTATATATTAGAGTATTAACTATAACAAAAGTATAAATTAATAAACACTGCACTAACCTAATAAACCAGCAATAAAATTTTAAACAAAGTGCAAACGTTTTTGTCCATGTTGAACAGGCATCATCAGGAAACAAACTGTTGAGAAAACACTGGTGATTGTTGAATGTGTGTAGGGGGAGGGGGTTTATGACTAAGATGAAAGAGGAGGGTTTAGATTTCATAGAAGGACTTCCAGGCTGTGGGGAAGGAGTCAACATTGTGATGGTTTATGGCTGAGTTATGGTGGGTGACCTTGTAAATTTTCACTTGTTCCAGATGTTTAAGGACATATTGTTTAGATTTGTTATGTTGTGAAAGGTTTGAATGTAGAACATGTAATAATATGACCGAGCCAGGAGGAACGAGCATTTTTATTAGCCGAATTAATTAATAGACAACTGATGCCCATCACAGAGACAAAGTTACACAGATATAATGACAATGTCTCCACTCTCGTTCAGATTTTTCAAACAAAAATTTGTTTATGTACAATTCCAATTAAAACTCAAATACTTACAACTAACCTTAACCTAACACTACAACTAATAGAAATGGAGAAGGAATGATAGTAAGAAGAATCTACCAGTAGTTAGACAATAGGGTCCCGAGCTGGGTGATTAATAACGGTGAATGTACAATCCATCAGCATCAGGGTTTATACTAAGCAGTCATTAACAAATATACACAGACGTAGTTCTAGGGACCTCTCAGGAATGGATATCTCAATTATTTCTTGTCTGTCCCACCTTTTTGATCTCTGTCTTATGCATGGTCCTTTGGTCTCTCTTTTGACCTTCCTCCTTGGTGGCAAACCCAAAAGTGTTCGTTTTTCTGTCCCCGTGTCTAATGATCACTTCAGGCAGGACCCCCTCCTGTCCCTGTTGGCAAAACCACCAATCAGGACCCACGAATATTCTCACTCCTGTCAGGTGACAGGAAAGGGTTAAAAGCGGAAGGAAGAAGGGTGATAGGAAAGAAGAAAGGAGTTCTAATTCTATATACAGTAATTACATACAACAAAATGGCAGACAGCCACAATGTAAGAGCTGCATCTTGTGGAAATCTACCTGGATGTCTGGTTGCCAAATCTGGATTCACAGCCTCAGGAACAAAAACAGTATAAGACTCCTAGTATTGTGTTAGGTCTCAATTATTTTGACTAGTGTGTTTTAATTTTGTAAATTTTTTGGATATGTATGGTTATGTTGACATTTCTACTTGAAAAATTTTTTAATAATCACAAACATTTGTAATTAATGTAACATAGCAACATTAATGGCAAGAAAAATTGTATAATAAGTTTTAATTGAAACATTGGTTTTGAGATGCATTTATTCTTTTTATTGATGTTAAGGAGTTTTTCCTTATTAATTGAAAAGAAAATTAAACATTAATAGAAAAATGAAATATACTTTGCTACGAAATTCTGATTTATCAAAGATGTTTATGGATTTAGATTTCTTTAAAATTCTTATCCAATGTAATGAGTTTTTTGTATTAATTAGGAAAATTGAAGAATAAACAAAAATTATCCAGAAAAGATAATACAAAGGTTAGTTAATTGTGCTTTATTCATATGAGTATTTTCAATTATAGTTATATATATATATATATTTTTTTTCTAGAGATAGTCTCATTACTTAGATCATATCTTTTTATTTGCTATCAGGTTATCGACCTAGCAACATCCATATTTGGAACAATACATTTGTATTGAAGTGCATTGAAGAATATGAAGTATCTTGTATGGATNACAGGGAACACCAACAACTGCTTACCGACTGTCTTCTAGTAGTACTCCTGTGGGGTTGGTTTAATTACCAATTATATTTATATATTTAAATTTTTAAATTATTTCAATTATATTTAAGATTATTTATTTTTTTTTATTAGTACTTTAATATTTAGCCATAGCTTCTCTATATAACATTAAATTTATACTTCAGAAATTATTGCCTTTCTCAAGAAGAAAATTCAATATCTCCTAGAACATCGACAAAGTTTGTGAATGGAGCCACTACTATAGTACCTGGAATATCAGCATTACAATTGGTAAAATTCTGTTTTAAGCACCATTATAGTTTATATATATAAATTAATTAATTTTGTATAATTTTATAGACTTCTTTATCAGAATCATCTATAACACCATTTTGGAATGGATCACCACCAACTTATTCACAAATACAAATACCTTGTATGTATAGTATCTAAATTTATTTAATATTAAGTAAAAATAGAAATATTGCTTTTTAGAATCTTTAATTTTTTAGATTTACACAATTTTCATAAGTTCAGTATAAATATTTACAGTACTAATAAAACAATTCAAGATCGCATTCAGTTTTATTAGTATTTGATGTCTTTCTTGTATGAATGTATGTATGTACATATGTACAAACGAGTAAGACCCCAAAAAAAATTTTTACTTTTCATTTGTAAATTTTCAGTCAAATGGCAATTAAGTTTCTGAAGACAGTCTGTTCAAAAAGGATTCATCTCATATTCCAGACTACACACTTTCTTGGTGACTGATCTTTCTTTTTAGACTACTGGTTGCCAGAAGTTAAAAAGTCCTTTTAAAAACACAAAAAATATATCCAATTAAAAATTACAAGAATTTCTATAAAAGGAATTGGTGACATACAGACTTCTTTCTTGTTTCCATCCATACCTTCTTGGGGTGTTACAGCTTTTATCTACTGGAAATTTTTAATTTTTGTTTTTTTTATGTATTTATTTTTTTAAAGTTAACTTACTTACTAAACTAACCTACCATAACCTGGGACAAACCTAACCAGACAACTAAAGCTAACAAACCCTAATCTAATTTAACCTAACTGGAAACCAAACTGAGTCACTAATCTAACTTACAACTAGGACTAACTGAATTTAGATTGAAAAAGAAGACAGAAAATAAGAATTAAAATACAAAGTTGAAAGGCAGCTATATACCAATAGTTGAAACAAAGCAAGGGAAAGCCAATTGCCATCTGTGCCCCTGGAGTGAGTGCTCTCAAGAGCCCCACTAAAGGATATGAATGTGAGTAGATGATGGAACATTGTACATGTGTGAATGAATTGGTGTGGGTTGCAAGGTCAGTTGTACCCTTCAAGAATAGTAGCTCTCATTAAACTATCCCTAATATGATTGTATCAGTTGCAGCAAAAAACTAAGTGAAGTGGTGTTTGGTCCTCCTGAATACCACAATCATATTGTGAATTGTCCTCAAGGTTAAATCTATGCAAGTATTGCTTAAAGTTGCCGTGTCCCCTAAGTAGCTGAGTGAGGGTGTAACTAGAGTAAAAGTGACAAAGAATCAGTAGTTCAAGTATGTCTTGTCTCTTTAATCTGACATCAGGTTCAGTAGACTGTCATTACAGCTTTCAGGTTAGACACTTCTTTTATTGTTTTCACATATGTGCAATGCATATGTGGAAACAATAAAAGAAGTGTCTAACCTGAAAGCTGTAATGACAGTCTACCGAACTTAATGTTGGATTAAAGAGACAAGACATACTTGAACAAAAAAACAGGTATCCAAAAGTGATATTTAGAATCACAGTAGTGTCAACCTTGGGAATGAAAGTGTAGGTGAGCCTACCAGTGGTGTCGTGGTCCCAGCTGTCTTGCCAGAGAATGATTTGCTTCTTGACGTGATTGTTGATGTACGAGGTAGGAATGTTACTGAAAGTAGTAGTGACTGAAGATTTTGCAGCTTGTTTGGCAAGATGGTCAGTGGTCTCATTACTGAGAACCCCACATGACCCGGGACTCATTGGAAATCTATTTTAATGTTGTTGTCTAAGTGTCTGAGAATGTGGTGTATGAGATTGACGAGTTTTAAGCGGCTATCGGACTTTGCAATCCCGTGTAAAGCTACCTACTGTCAGAATAAATGCAATAGTGTAAGTACAGTAGAGCCTCGATTATCCGACTCAATTGGGGACTGGGGTTGGTCGGATAATTGAAAAGTCGGATAACCGAAAAGTATGAAAAAATCCATTATTAGTGTAGTATATTATTATATCCCATGTAATTAGTATATTAGTATATTGCTATTAACATACTTTGCGTAGAATTTTCATCAATGTTAAGCCTAACAAAAATTTTTTTAAATAATTGTCGCTATTGTATCATTAAAAATTAGAAAATTAAGCCTCGTTTAAATACTGGCTCCCTTTCATGGTCGAATGAGTGTTGCCAGCTAAAACACGTAAAAATAATATTAAAGTAGCCAAGACATAGCCAAATATTGTAGCGCCACATCACTAGCGGACATTTGAAATTTGCCNAAATTAAGCCTCGTTTAAATACTGGCTCCCTTTCATGGTCGAATGAGTGTTGCCAGCTAAAACACGTAAAAATAATATTAAAGTAGCCAAGACATAGCCAAATATTGTAGCGCCACATCACTAGCGGACATTTGAAATTTGCCGACTAGGGCGGTCGGTTAACCGAGGTGTCAGATAATCGAGGCTCTACTGTAGTGTCTTTTGTCCTTCCTATGCCTAATGTGAATTAAGCTCATATAAATAGCTAAAGTTTCCATCTGTGCTATTGAGCAGTGTGTACCTAGATGGAAGCAAGCATTGTGAAGCTTGCGATTTAAGTTGGAGTAAACTACAAAAGTGTCACCCACATCATCATCCATCTTGGAACCATCAGTGTAAATCCTAAACATGGTATGATCACCTGGATCTTTGAAGTAAACATCAGGGGTAAGCTGGTGGGAGGGGTGGTAATCGTAAGTTGGGGAGTATTTTTGTCAATGCTGAATTTTTTTATATCGATCAAGCTCAAACTGGGAGGAATCTTACCTACTCTAATTATTATGTCAACATCAGAGTTGCTATAGTCTCACCAGAGTAGGTGACAATATTTTCCTGCCAAATAATGCATTTAATTTCTAAATTGATAGGGGTCAATCCTGACACTAGTGGGTACGGTCCTATAAGCCTTACAAATGTGGAGAGCTGCAACCTTTGAACAGATAAGTTTTTTGCGGTTATGGATTTGGCGGCCACGTTGCCCCAGATCTGTAAGGCATAGAAAAGTGCTGGCTGAATTGCACCCTTGTAAATAAGCTTAGTAGCATTAGGGCCATGTGTTCCTAGCAATACTAATGAGAGCATTGGCCATCTTTTTAGCTTTGTCCATGGTGTGAGGTGTGAAGTTAAGTCTATCGTCAAGAATAACACCTAAATATTTAATTTCCATTGTTTGCTTTATTCTGTGAGCACCTATTTGAAGGGTAAGCTTCCTGACGAGTGGCACATTCCTACCAACTATTATGCTTTCGCATTTGTCTGTGTTAATGGGTTGCCTATGCTTAATACTCCACTGGTGAATGTTATTGAGAATGTAGTTGCATATGTCCTGTAAGCGTTCTATTCCTGTGTGAAGCTAGGATAATTGTCATCCGCATAGTCCTGTAGCGGCAGCCAGGATGTAGGCTGTCGTTTAAGTGCAGAATAGAGTTATAGGCTATGTTCCAGAGACCAGGACCAGACCTGGATCCCTGAGGACAGTGATGAATATGACTGTTAATTTGTGTTGTATAAACACCTGCACTCCTGTGGCTAAGATAGGACTAAAGAAGTTTGTAAAGATTTTGATGGCAGTAATGAGCATATAATGTGTGCAGGATAAAAGGCCACCAGGCATGATCAAGTGCGCCTCTAAAGTCAATAGTGATAATTGCGGTATGATGATTGTTTTGTTTAGCCTGGTGGATGTAGTTAACAATGGATGACATCTACTGTACTTTTGTTTTTAGAGAACCCGACTGATTCTGATGCAGGGCTCTACGCTTGCATAGATTCCATGTGATCCTATTAATCATTAGACCGTCTAACACTTTTTTCCCAGACTTGGGAGAATACAGATCAGCCTGTATTTTTTGTAAGTGTTAGTGCTAGTGGGTTTGGGAATCAATTTGACACTAACCTTTTTCCAATGAGTAGAAAAAAGGCCAGTGTTCAAGCACATTTTACAATGTACAAAAAAAAATGCAAAATATAATTTTGAACAAATGGATTAATTCAATATTCATTAATCAACTACTCAGAACTGAGTATACTTAATAAACAAAACAAATAAAATCAATTTTCAGCACAAAAAAATGCCACTATATACTTCTGAGATGTAGATTCCTTCCCCCCTTGCATGGAAGTTGATCTGCAATCTTACAACTCTTTCTCCCTCCAAGTTAAATCACTAGCAGTCCTATTGTAAATTTGATGTAGGAACGATTCATAATATATAACTACATGATTACACTCTGCTTTGTTAATCCTCATGCTGGTGTTAGCTAACTTAGATTGCTGTGTGGAAGTGAGTTGTTGATTAACTATTCATTAATCAACACATAGTTAAAAGTATGGCACCAACAATGAATTTGAATGCATTAAAAGTATGGCTTCCACCCAAGCATGGAAGCCATACTTTTAATGCATTCAAGTTTGTTGTTGGTGTTGGATGTCTCAGATCAATGCAAGTAAGCCTTTGTAACTAGGGCTTGGAATGTGACTAAGTTAAAAGGCCAAGGGTCCACTGAGTTAGCAGGTATAAAGAGGGGAATGTATGTGGGTTTTTGGTAAATTATTATGGTTATATTTCTATTTGTCATTTGAATCTTGATGTCCAAGTAATTAACTCCTGTGTGACTTTCCTGATCTAAGTCTAGTGTTAGTCTGTAGCTGCTGCTGTTAAAAACTTTTAACACTTCCCCTATATCAGGTTTAGTTCTCCATATAAGCAAAATAGCATCTACATACTGAGTGTAACTAATGATATTTGGTTTAAAGTATACTAAAGCCCATTTTGACTGTGCCCCAGTACCACAATCATGATTTAGCTTGTGGTATTTAGATTGCCACAGAATATAATAATAATTTTTTATTTTGTAACATACCTTCACAAAATTAAATAAATTTTTTTTATGCAAATGATGCATCACCATTATCAAACATCTTTTTAAATGTTTAAAAAATTGGAACAAGACGAGATTTGAATGATATAACTGTTTGTATTCATTCCTGATGAGGGCCTTTAAATAATGGCCAAAAATGTTTGAGTAGTAAAATTGTTTGCTTGCTGGAAATCGCATTTAGATGTTGGTTATTTAAAAATCCTTTAAGCATTCTTCCACAGGGAGGACAAGAAGGAACTAAACCACATTAAATGAATTGCAGTGCAGAAAGGTTACCTCTACAAAATTTATCAAGGGCTTAATTCATCAACGATAATCACTGATCAGGAACAAAGGCAAAAACCAGGAGAAAGATTTCAAAGCAGTTAACTATGTGAAACAATTTATTCCTGTCCATAGAGAAATAGCTAAGATCAGTAACTGAAAAATAGTGCATAAAAGAAATTTATTACTATATACATTACTAAGGAATTCCAAGGATTCCAAAGATCCCCAAAACATACCAGGAATGTGTTTTATTTCACTGACTGATAACTGAAATTGAATGAAATTAGAATACATAATAATCTCTACATGTGCAAAATCATGAAAAATCAATTAGAAAAGAACTTACAACAGCAGCCTTAACAGCCTATACAAATAAACAAGTGCAATTGCACCTAGAAGTGCAAATAATATATTATACGTGAGATAACACACATTTAAAATATCTTGAGAGAAGGGAGACGCACAAAGCTAATAAATAAATAAATAAAATGGCAGAGCCCTCAATTACAAAGAATTCAGTACATTGTCTGCATGGAAATTGTTGTAATTTATTATAATAATAAATTTTATTTATATGTATAAATTAGTATATAAAAGAAATAATGNATATATATATATATATTATATATTTATATATAAATATATATATTTCATTGCCTTTGGGAATAGACTTTAATTTGGGAATAAACTGTTCCATTTAATATGAATTTATTGTAAAGTTTATTCCATGCATTGTTATATATAGTTAATGTAAATCTAAAGTGATGGCTGAAAGAGATTGAAAATGTTTTTATCAAGCATTGCCTAAATTTAACATTTTACTGCTGGATTTTCTGGTTTGGTGAGTGAACTGATGATAAACACATTCAGTTGTTAGATTATTAATGTAAAGTTTTGCTGTATGTTTTCCATGTTTACAAATATATTTTCTTATTCTTTTTATGTTAGTAAATTACAAGAAAAACAATACTTAATAAGCAAAATAATAGTATGCTATGTAAAATTATTAAAATTTGTTATATAAAGAAATTGATTAGAAATTTTCCAAATATTTATCTTGAAGATTCATTACAAATAGTTATATATGTAAATATATTTTTTTAATGAAAAATATTTTTTCCTAAGCATCAGTTAAAGTAGTGCAGTATCCAGATACAAAGGTATGTATAAAAGTATTATATTAACAAAAAAATTTTTTTAATTACATTAGATTTAAACCTAATGCTTTCAGAATCAATGTGAAACAAATGACTTACCTGTAGAAGAATCAACCAACAGCAATAATCAAGTTAATTATGTTCCTACTACATACTTTCTACCTAATTCTAATCCTTCTGAAATTAATAAAAGCCACTCTGAAATTAATCAATCTAATCATTCTACAAGGCCATCTGACTGCTCGTTATCTTCTAATCAAACACAACCATTTTTGCAGTCTTCTGAGCAAGTATTAACACCTGCTTCTCCTCCAACCCATCCTCTTCATTCTTCTATTTCTGCTGTAAGTCAACCTATAACAGTTTATCCTTGTCCTGTATATTCTGGTATGCTGTTTCCATACAGTGAATCCTTTTCTGTTAATCTTAATGCCTGGAGATCACAAGATCCTACTGGTAGTGACCTTCCATTAGCAGGTAATTAAAAATATATGTGAAAGTATAGTGAATGGAATTGTTATAAATAATCCACCAATAATGTAGATGTAGATTAACCTAATTTCTTTAAAAATGTCTAAAGATTTCAACAGTAAAAAAATATTTAAAATTTATTGGGTTGCAATTTGAAAAAATTGTAGACCTATATATTCCCACTGCCCTTCCTTAATTTCGAGATTGCAGTTAGATAGATGAAAGTCGAGACCAGATATGAAAAGCTTGGGGTAGGAGGCCCCGATTATCTATAGACTTCCATTCTGGACTGGAAGTTACATTGTTTTAATTCAAAAATTTCTGAAAGGAGTTAGATTGATGACCAGCATGACACTATTACTAACAGGAAAAGTATGATGTACAGGGGCAAGAGACTACTAATTTGAAATGGAGATCATATATTTTAAATTAAATAAATTAAAAATATGATTGTCACAATGCCTGGGTGCAATTTTTAATGTCACAGTAAATATTTGCTCATTTGAAATTTAATGTATTCTTAATATTTGGCATGTGTTATTGGCTAGTCTGTTTTTTCCTAAACTTAATTCTATTATATTTGAGTGAAAGTTCTTCAGTGACTAGTTGCTGAGAAGCATTTTGAATCTTGTAATCATCTTGAGTTATGCATTGGTATCTTCTATTTTATATCGATTTTGATTTTTTTCCAAACTTCACAGTATTCAGTAAAGTTTAATATTATTTAAAGTAATAGATTAAAATTACTCTTCAAATTAAATAAGCAGAAATTCTTTAACTAGTTTGAGAATGGATAGTACAGTTTACAGCAGTGAAATTTTATCAGTTTGTTTCATGTATGAATGGGATTTCAATGACATTTTTCTGGTCAGTTTCCACCTTTTCTCTCTCGTTAGTTATGTGAAAAAAATTACATTACTGTTTTTGTTTTAATTGAACAAATGCCATTTTTAACATGCTTTTCATTATTCCGTAAAGTAGTAAAATGAAACAGCAAACTTGTAAATTTTTTGTATCTAAGAGTAATGAAAGTTAAAGTACATAAAAATATAAATACGACTTTAACACAGGTGAAACCTTACTTTTGTCTTTCTTTTCGCTATTCACATCATCAGTAGTCCTTAAACAATTCACAAAGTTAGAGACAACCTTGCTTTTGAGGCTACTGCCTCTGCCCAAAAAAAAAAAAAAAATGTAAAATCAGGTAAAGCGTCCTCTGGTGTTATTACCACTGTCACCATATCACATTAAGCAAAAAACAATAGAAATACATTATTTATATTCGTATTTATATTGTTATGTATTTATTAAATGTTGATAACACTGGCCATGTATTTCTATTGTTTTTTTACGTAGAAAGTTAAATGTTGGCTAAGAATGTTGTCAATAACTCCATTAAATACATTATTAAAACTGATCAGATTTCATTATGGCATATTTTACATCTTCCATTAATGTTATTAATGCTTTATTAATTAATTAATTGAATAACATTAATAACATGCTTTATTAATGTTGCCTTCATTTTTACATTTATATAATCTTCATTTGGCCTTTGGCATAGATTATGTTTCCCATTAGCAATAATGATTAGGCTATGATCCCCATGTAATTTATTTTAAAAAATTGTGAAATAGGAACTGGTTTTCTTTACTTAAGTTTCTTGGAAATTTCTCCAATGAATTTAAAATGGTCTGTATTTATTTGATACTGGATGTCTTCTGGGACTTGTTTATTCACATTATTACATATGCATTTTGAGTTGTCGATAAAAACTCAATGTTTCCTTCTCAGCTTTAAATAACAAAGTTGAGGAAGAGAGAGATTTTTTTTTATATATATAGCATAATGCATAGTCTGCCCTATGTTTGTTCAGCAATTATTTTGTTCCAAATGTGCATGATGTTTTCATTTAATATGTAAACTGATCAGTGTACAAGTGATGAAATGACATTTTCATCCTTTTGTCTGGATTATGTGGTATCTCTAGAGATATATATAATGATAATATATACATATTGTTTGTATGTGTTTTCCCTTATTAAACATTCCATGCAAAATTTCCAAACAAGTGTAATTGTTAATGCAGCATCTGTACCACTAGCTTGGCAACTATGATGCCATGTTGGTTGATGTGTGACTAGATAGAAGATACTTTCTGCTAATTCAATCTTATAACACAATGCATCTGAAATAATTGGTTATTTTATTCATCTGGTTTAGTAGCATATTATATATTTCTAACAAAGTAATACAAACATTGTATTTTATTCAACTTGTTGAACAGAAAATATATTACATTATCATAAAATTTTGTTTGAGGGAAAAACTACTGACATGAGAGCTTGCTACCAAATGCTAATTGCATTCCAACAATATTTTAAATTATATTATTTAAGTTAGTATTTATTCACAATTTGAAAATTATATTTCTAAAATTTAGAATGTTTGCTCAAAACTGTCACTTTATTAATAAAATTTAAATTTGTTTATTAGACCTTCCAACTGTGCGTTTCTTCTATAATCTTGGATGTGATGTAAGTATAATTTAAATAGTTTGTTTACTTTATGAATTTAATTTTTCTGGATGTTAACATAGTATTTTATTATATAAGTACTCTAAAATATTTTTATACTTTAGTATTTTCGAATGACGTCAATGATGCATGTAACAACTCCATCACCTTATCCTGCTTGGACACCATGTAATAGTAGCATTAGTTATGCTATTGGTACCCCTTGTTCTTCAATTCCTGTACCTATGTCAGAATGCTATGATCAAAGAAGGGAAGATATTACTCAAAGAAATTTTAATGGTATGTAATGTTTGATAATGTGTTAAAAGTGGAGACTGAGTCTTTGCTACAGTTAAAGTATTGGGTTGATGCAAAAGTTTCTGGAACTTTTCTCTTAAAAAGCACTTCAAGTAATTCACATTGTGTGAGAGTGATTTAAAAAATATAAATGATTGATTAAAATATATTTAATATATATATATATGTATATATGTAGGATAAAAGGGTATTGAGATTGAGAATTATAGAAATGACAATAAACTTCCAGAGTTTGTAATCGTCGTAACCGTCTTGACAGAATAATAATGCTTTCGCCTTCGTAACATCCTTTGTTTCCTTTCCACTTTCCACCTTTTGCGTCGTCACCCACCGTCGTGTTGTTTACTACTCCCCTTACTTGACTCTCCCTCGTTCTCCTCGCCTCCCCACAACCCCTCGTAAATTTTATTGTCTTAACGATTTAGGAATGTTACTTGCCTAAACCCCACATATATAACTCTTTCAGAAATAAGAATAGGGATAAAGTTCAAATTGAAGAGATTATACAGGAACATAATGATCAAATAATTCACATCATGTCTGTTTAAGTGCTTTTTAAGAGAGAATAAGATTCTGAGGACAATGAAAATACATAATTCTGGAACTTTCTAGAATATTTAAAATTGTCCTCAGACAGATAGTCTAGAAGTTCCTTGTGGAGTATGTAAATGAAGAGTGTTGAGATGCATAATCATAAGTGAAAAGATAGTGTATAGCAATATACACTATTCTAGAATGATAGATACCATAAGTAAAAACAAAACATCCAAGAAATTTTGAAATAAACATGCCTATAATAAAATGCATAAACTGTGTGAAATTTAATGAAATAAACTGGACATTAACCCCTCCCTTCCAACTTTGGATATAGGCCCACATTAGGGGCTGTCCATAAATGATGTCCACATTAGAGGGGAAGGAGGGGATTATAACAAATTGGACACTCATATGTTGCATTTAAAACATTTAGCATAATCAAATTTTGTAGCATGCTCGTAAAAGGGGAAAAAAATGGGTCTTTACCATTTTTTTCCCCTTTTACGTTAAAATTAATGTAAATGGAACACACATTATTTAAATTAGAATTTTCTACTGTATTTTTAAATATTCATTCACCTGAAGATGATGAACATAAGTTTGTTGAAAGTGCTAGTGAAAATATAAAACTGTTAATATCGCACTCAGTGTGTTTGTTTATTTTATTTTTTTTTTTGCGAGAGGTTAAAGCTGTATTGTATTTGTCTATAAGAGCATGTTAGTCTTACTGGCTGACTAATAGCTGCACCTGGAATTTTATCAGGTCATCTTTGAGTACCCACTGGATCCTGAGTCTTGTCAAAACTTTAAGTAGACTGATAGCTAGATCTTAATCTGCTCTGTTAGCCAAAGTTGATTAATCATTAGGTGACCTGTAGACATTTGTGGCTTGGTTGAGCCTCATCTCTCTCCTCTTTTTTTGTTGTTGTTTTTTTTTTCTTCCACCATTTTTGTCATAAACTTAACTTCCGGCCTTTGTTCTGTTGACCTCATCGTAATTGGTTGACCCAATGGTCCAATGGGTCACTAGAAAAAGTGGGGTGACACCGGATTGGTCAAAGGGGACTGGCACAAGAGGAAAGGGGGAAAATCATCATTCTTAGAGAAGAACTGGGAAAGAGAAGATCTAGATGTCAGTGAGTACTGAAAGAAGACCCCCTCTGGAATAATGGACTCTGTTTTTTGCCAGCCAGCCCCCAACCCCCGTTTGACCCTTTTCTTTATCTATCAAAAATCAATTCTTCTAATCCTTATCAACCCCATTTTGAGTTAACTAAATTTACAAAATAAAGAGACCTAAGTTATAGTTAAGATAGATGTAAATTAGAATAAGTTTTGTTTTGTTGGCACATGGGAATCAACCAGTTGTATTGTTATAGTTGGTCCCAAGGATCTTTATAATAATCCTAGTTTATAAGTGTGTATAATTGTTTCTTCAGAAACTATCAGTATTAACTGTAAATAATAAACTTTTAATTTTATCAATGCTGAGCAATTCTTCGGATTCTGTCATTTGCTCTCGGCTACACCTTCATTAAATGTTGCTTGTTTCTATCATGTTAATGCTTTCAGATGTTGTAAAGTTGTGATCTAGACCAGTGTTTCTCAAACTATGGGTTATGTTAAAATTTTAATTGATCATGAAATGATATCTTCCACAGAAATACTTTTACATCTAAACATGAAATCGTCCAAAATCAGCCTTATTCATTCAAAACTAAATCAGCCGATGGAAAAGTTGTTTGACTGGTTTTGCTATACAGATTCCCCTTGTAGCCTGAGGTGTAGAAACAATTTTGTCATTAGCTACATAGTAGGAAAAAGTTTTCAGAGCTTAGAGTTAATACTTATTACTGAAATATTGCAAAGAACTACAGATTCATTCTTTAAGTATTAAAAATTTTTCACTACTTTATTACTAAATGACAATACTAATTTTAAGAAAAAAGTATTCATTATTTAATAATTAATTATAATAATATAAATAAACTGCGAGTAAACAGCATGTCTGAGAACCTTGCAGGATGCCAGATAGATTTTATAAAATGTAAAGCAGAATTCCTCAAAATGTAGCCCAATAATTTTTTTGAGTGGTCCAAAAAGTAGTAAGTTATCCAAATCTAGTAACCTAGAGCTCTACAAATATCTTAATCTACTACTTGTAGCCCAATCTTGCAATCCCAAAAACTAGCTGTATTTTATGAGTTAAGAGAAAAAGGGAAGTCCATGTGACATCCAAAAATGTGTTAAGCCCCAATGGACCTAAGTCTATTGGGCGAAGTGGTCGGGTAAAGGCACATTAATCAAGGACTTTACAATTTTGTACATTTTTAACAATAAGGTTTAATTATGAGTACATAAAATACAAAGTTAATATATTCTAAATGACATGAGAAGGAACGTAATTACAATTCTGGGTTTTAGAGACAAAGGATCGAAGAAATTACTTAAATATCAAGATACAGCAATTCACATACCGACAATAATATTCTTCGGACGTTCCTTGAAATTTCCTTTATAAATCTGACGTGGTATTTCTCATACCATAGATGTGTTCTCCTCGATGGGTCCGGATTCTATTCACTATTCAATTGAATGTCCGCATGTGTAGTTTTCCTTCTCCTTTGTTCTTTCACCACAGTCTATTTTTGTCGCACAACTGGTTGGGACCAAAGGAAGAACCAAAAAGTACCTGGTGGACGGGAGTCCAACATTTATAATCCCCGCCATTGCGCGTGACGTCATGTCCGTTGCTAACCAATCTAAAAAAACCCGATACAAATATATACATACACATAAATAACTATATAATAGTGCTTAGGCACTACAAATGTATTACTGTAAAAGCAAAGCCACATTGACCAGATTACAGTTGTTGTTGGTCCATTGTTCTTTTATAGTTTGGAGGCACTTTGATCTAAACAAACGAGTTGTCTGAACTGTGATATGTCAGTTAATTTTCACTTTAAATTTTAAAGTAGCAGTCTTTCAAACTAACCAAAATTTCTTAACATGTAAATCACTATCTGCTGCCCAGACAAAAGTACAGTATGAACTAATAAGACTTCAAACTTTCCAAATTCAAACTAACAAGGATTTTTCTGTATAACAGTTTTTTGTATATTACATGATCGATGATTATAAGATCAGACATTCTCATTAGGGAGGATAAGTAGAGGAGTAGACTTGTGTCTGATCTCTGAAAAATTTCTCTGCTTACTTATATTGTTTCAATTACTTATGTGACCGAAGGATCGGCACCTCCTCAATGCCTTGTCAGGATGACACCACCCTGTCTCGGTTGACAGGGAAATCTAACTAGTTCATGCGAGCGGTTGCATAATGGAGCGATCAGATTCTGGATGGAGGGAGTGAGAGATAGCACATTGGAAGTGATTCTTTCAGAGACTAGATTAACATAACAATTGTTTAATGGGTAATGCTAGGAAATACATATTTTACAATAGATTCGATAATAAGAGTTAAATGACCGTTCTTGAGAGAGAGAGAGAGCTTACAATAGTTTGCGTGGCAATAAATACCTGGAGTTTGGTTGATTCTTGGATTGCTGATAATTGATAATCAAGTTCTTGACTTAATCCAAAGTTTTGGCGACGACGTTTATTCAAGTTCCTTTGGGCACTTAATAAATCCTGTTGTTGCAATTAATCCCAATAGGAGGCACTTAATAGGTTCTGTTGCAATTAATCCAAATAGGAGGCACAAAAAAAAGTTCGGTTGCGATCTGATGACTTCTATCTAGAGGAATGGCGGCGACTGTGTCAAAAATCTGTTTGTAGCTATATTCATTTGGCAACTTTGCAATAATAGGTTGGAAGGTTATTTGAAAGTGTCTTTTCTGACTGAGAACTTGCTGAGTGATTAACTCCCGGGTGTGAAATTTGATACTTATTTGATAAAATAGTATTGTTAACGATTTAGGTCAGGCTGTAGGTTAATAAACACCGCTAAGTCTCACACTTATATAATATTTTTGAAATTTAAATTATTTAAGCTTATTATTTAAATTTGTAGTGATTAAATATTTATATTAAATCTTTTCAGGATCTGTGAATACACAGATGATTCCCCCTCAGCCTGTCATTGTTGGCAGTCCACCTTCTGTGTCGGCTCATGCCATTTTTTATTCGTCATCTTTACCAACAGTCAGTACACCACAAACTGTAATCTCATCACCTTCATATGTTGCTAGTTCATTACCATAAATTATTGAAGATTTGTGCTTTGTTTTAAATGTTGTGTATTATTTATGTAGTTTGAGATCAATGAATGTTAAAAAAATCGAAGACACTGCTGTCCTTCAAAATGATGTGTGTTAAAATCTTTTCATACAGAGATTTTACAACTTTATAGTAGAAAATATTTTATATTTCTTACATGCATCATATACTAACAGTATTCATTTGTCCAATTTTTTTATCAACATTAATAACAATATAGTATTTTAAGTTTTCTAACAAATTTGAATTTCAGTATTACTAAATTCTAATATAAAATATCTTTTTCTAATATTTAGTATTTAAATATTTATTTAGATATTTTTGGATTTGTTAATTTCATATTTTCATTTATGAAAATTGGCATCTAAAATATTTTGACTATCACAAAGGAATTGTGATGTAATGTTTTATTAAAATTGTAACTACTGTAATATCTTAAATATTAAGAGACATTAATAAAGCCAATTATTTTGTATTTAGTTTGTATTTTCAATTTATCTATATAATAATAAAAAAGTACTATGTAATAATCAAAGTTAATCTATTTACTTTGAATATTTAATGTCGTCATACATATGTACAATGCTCTTTAATGTGAATTAAATCTCTAACTATAAAGCAGCCATCTTAACTGTAGCAATGGCATTTGTTATTGACTCTTATACAATTTTTATTCATAAACAATTTTAGTTACTGTTAATGTGTTTTTAACCAATTCAATAGTGCAATTATTGTCTTTTTGATAAATATTGTAATCCCACATTGAAGAATAAAATACAGTATGTAATTTGATTTTTCGGCAGATGAATCAACAATGCCATCCACATAGTAAATGATACTGCAATATTTCAAATATATTAAATAGCAAAATTTTCCTTAGTTGAAATTGCTTTTTAGTATGATTATACAATGTTTAAATCAATTAAAAATTTAAATTTAAAAACAAACAAGATTTCAGTGTGTTGTCAGCCAAACCCTGTATATATTGTAAATTAATTATTAATTTTAATTTACATATTTATGGAAACATAATTAAACAAATCCCTGAACAAAATTTCATTTGAAATGACTTTCTAATATAAAGAAACAATATTATGTGATTTATTTTTACCCGACTGTTTCTTTTGAAATATGATTATAACAGAAAATAACTATAAAACTACTTTTCTCTGATACATTGGTGTGTATAAATAAGGAAAGCAACTGCTTTCCTAAACCTTTTTAATTAATAGAGCTTCTATGGGAATATCTTACTGTTTCTCATAAATAAATAAGGAAGTTGCTTACATAAGTTAGGGAAAACTTTAAAAGCAGTTCTTCAACCATTCCCTGTTAGTTTGGAATTTGGTAAGTGATTACTATATATAAACATTTTAATTGTCTTCACAATGACATTTGAATGACACAGGTGGTGAGTCATTGGTAAGATAAAAACTGATCAATCAAGCAATTACCAGTTATGTTTGAGTCAAGAGACAGGAATACATTGGATTGATGTCCAAAGGCCAACTATTGTTTGTAATTAGAATTACCCAGTGGTCATCATCATTGTTATAAAGTGCAATAGATGTATAATTTGCCAATTCTCCTTAAATTTGCTTTGGCAATAGGAAGATTAATATGAATTATAATCAGAAGCAGTCCTCATGGAGGACTACAGATCATGGGTTTTCTAGGTATATAGTTACCTATGGCCATAAAAGAATTCAACTAGAATGGAGTAAACTGTTGGAATCAATGATTGAAATTATTGTTAAATGCTATATGACATTGTTACTTACTGTGTTCTAATGTTTTGTAAATATTTTTCCATTACGTAATAAAAGGTTGGTGCTGTTGACCCCTTGGGGGGGTCTTTGGTGATGGTGACCTCGTTTCACTCTCCCCCTTTTCAGTGCTGACCTTCCATGAGTCAAGACAGTGTATTCTTTGTTTCTTTGTTACATAACCAGTTACATGAGTCCAACCAGTTTTACTAATCTCCAATAAGCAACATCAAGTCTAACATAAACAACAGTAACTTATCTGAAATTTGTATTATACATGATTCCAGCAGCTATATGACATTGTGATATATAAAGTGCAAATATTTTTGACCTTAGTAGCCAGCTTCAGGCTTCTTTTAGCGATTTGTCTAAAGTTGAATATTCTAAATGTTCTGAAATTTTCTTCAGATTTTTTTTTTTGTTCAATGTCACCAATTTAAAACTTGCATTGAAATTTGAATATTTTAACTGCTCTGGAATTTTCCAGCAGCTAAACTACATTGTGTGAGGTAGCTGCTGGAAACACCTGTGAAGTTAAAGTAAGTTACTGTTGTATTAATTCCAGCTTTATATAAAGTTTTCGATTGATAAAGTAGGCAACATCACATTTGGATATCTGAGCAATACTCTTCACAAATGCATTAAGATTATCACTAATAAATAATAAACAACATTAATACATTTAGAAAAGTTGGCACTGACATTCTCATCAGTATAATGGAAAAGGTGATTTAAGTTGATGGGAACATGACATAGACAATTGTCATGGTTAATGTTCATACCACACTGTTGCCAATAGAAAAACTAAGTTGTACACTTAGTTTTTCTATTGGCAAGGTGAGATCCTAAAACTCCTTATATTGTTTTTCATGTGCTGCTGTTCCAGATTTTGTTTTAATTTGTCTATAAAGAAAAGAATATCAAATTGAATGACAATACAAATCTTTAAATCTAATCTCCACAAATTTATAATTTTTTTTTTTTAATAATAATAATAATGCTAACAGTTCAAAAACATAGTTGCAAGCTTCTTGCCTCCAATGAAATTACTTAATTATCTCATACTACTAATTGGTGAAGATATACAAGGCTTATCAAACTGTATTGGCTTGTTAGAAAATCGATCATATCAATAAAGACAAATGTATCCACGAATAAAATTAGTCTTCAATATACCTTTTTCAGCCATTATTACATAAATATCCACAACATTGCAAAAACATATTTAACATTCAACTTTAATTCATGTTCTTCCATGTTTTGAAACCATGTCGTATCTTTATATTTGTTTTATAAATGCAATGTATCATAATAACAATCACTTGGCACTATTCATTCTTTTATTTCAATTTTCATTATTATGCTACATTGCATTTATAAAGCAAATTCAACTTTAACTTAATACATAAAATAATGCATGTTTGTTTTTACTTTTGTAATTTTTTTTTAACTTAATTACTAGTTTACATGGTCATACATGGATATACTGTAAGAACAGTTAGCAATCTGGTTAAAAATTCAATGAATTTGTATATTCTGTGAAAATTTGTTTTCTCTGGATTGTGAAGACTTTAGTGGCATGGCTAAAATCCATATGCAGCACATCTCGATGATAGGCGGAATTGGTCTGGATTGTGTCCTACCTTGTCCATGATGTCCACGTTGACCTCGACCACATGTTCTGCATACTTTTTCGTTGGCAAAGATTAACTGAGAAACTGATCCAAGCAAATAATTTACTTCATTTGAATCGGGTACGCGATATTTACAATAGTGTCTAGATCAGGGGTGTCCAACCTTTTTGTTTCTCTGGGCCGCATTGGAAGAAGTCAAGGAGTTTTGGGTCACGAGTATATATAATATATACTTGTGGCCCAATATACAAGTATATTTAAAAACTAACATGTCTAGATTATAATAATAAGTATTAAAACTTTATCAAGAAAAAAGGATATTTTAAAAAATTACTTCTACAGAGACTTTCAATTTTTACTTAGAAATAGATAAATCCATTTATTATAAAAGAGAGTAAAGAAAATTCATTTGAAAAACACACATATTTGTTTTATTTGGGTCTATAATTAATAAAAAGCGACGAAACACCATTTTAAAGTGCATTTTTATTCAATTAATGTAATTATAAATAATATTAGCCGAAAAAGTAGCCAAAGCGCCAAATGATATTTTTTACGTCAAGCAAAAAAGTAGCCACATTTGGCCCAATGTAGCCAAATCTTGCAACGTTGGAAGAAATACTAAATAAAGCTGGAGTTGTGAATCAAAGGATTATAGACCCAAGTGCGGGGAAAAAGAGGCAAAGGACAAAAGATAAAGAAGTGAAAAAGGTTGAAAAATTACGGGTCTATATTTGTTTAACAGAAGATCTATTTAACGTTTCTCACTGCTACATCTTTTGTCCTTTCTCATCTTTCCCTCCCTTTCCCAAATTTGCTATAATCCTTTGAGTCACAACTCCAGCTTTATTTAGTAATCCTTCCGCATTCACACATTTCCAAATATTTGAAAATATTTTCTTTCCACTCAAAAATAAAATATGAATAAAGGTTTACGGCTTTGTGAAACTTTTTTTTTGAGTTTATGCCGTTGAAATAAATAAATAATAAAAAATTTAAACATTTGTCGTTTTTGTTTACACGTTTATTGGGCCGCACTGGAACTTGCCTTGGGCCGCATGCGGCCCGCGGGCCACGGGTTGGACACCCCTGGTCTAGATATAATACAAATCCAAGATCGTCACTGCTGTTAACTCCAAAAGGTTTACTAACATAAAGTGAAAAGCTGTCTCTCCTCCTCAGAGTACAGGAGCAAAGTGAGGTCAGAGTGCAAAGGTCACGCAGTGGTGCTCTCTGCTGTAAAGACTATTTTTTTAGATATGCATTGCACCTGGAACTAAACTATTTAGGAGGAATTTGTTTCAGTTTTTAAGAGATCAGTTTGAGGGAATTTCAGTTTCATGACAAAAGGATGGTAACTCTAAAAAGTGATTTAAGTCATTAAGTGAGGAGTGACTGTAATTGAAGGAAATTTTACTTGTACAAAACAGTAATTAATAAAAAACTTCACTTGAACAATTTCTATATATAACTAAAAATTTTTATAAGTTACTAGTATTTAATTTCTAATAATCTAAAACATTTTATTCTTAGAATATAGCTTTTTCATAGCTCCTTTTAATGTACTATTTTGTTTTTATATCAGTAAAAATGTATGTAGGTCTGCATTGGGGATATAAAATTTACATTAATAAGTTACTAAAATTTAGTTTTTACATATATTAATTCAAGTTAGTCATTTTCTAGCAAGACAATATATTTACAGCCCTGCTGTAAAAAACGATAAAGGTGCACTATTTTCTGAATGTATTGCTCCACTACATCTCATGTACTATGTAGGGATGTCATCAATGTCCCTTGCACCACTACTAGTGGTAATCAAATGTAATACAAAATGGATCCCTGACAATGGCATAACTAGAGTTTGTGCCATCCAGATTGGTCCTAGTTTGCCAATTCCATGAGAAAAACACTTTCACACACATCAAACATACTTTCAACAATAAGTGAAAAAACATAGTGAGAGAACTGAAAAAAATTAGGAAACCATGTTTATAAAATGTTAATTTTTTTCACTTAAAATAAAGTTGTTTTTTTTTCCTTTTCTATTAGTAAACTTTTCAATGACATCATTAGTCTATTTCATCTGTCAATTATTGTTCTACAAGCAGTGTAGCCCAATTTCTCAACCTCAAGATGGTCATACTAGATTATAGGTAATTCTTTATCAGTTTTAGTTTAGAAAAACTACTCTCACAGCTAGTGACAATAACAACAATTGAGAAAAATCCACAGTAGAATTACAATATTAGGAACAGTTTCCAAAATTATATTTTTGAATAAGCTGCAAGAGTTCAAGGGAGCTTCCTTTCATGTTTGTTCTGTCTTGCATAGGAATAACACTGAAGTTTTTCCCCCCCCCCTCAATGATGGTTGGTTGGTGTTTTTTGGTGTAAGAGCCACATAGGCCAAGTTGTGCCATGTCAAATGGTCAATTTATGTAACACACACACACACACACACACACACACACACACACACACATATATATATATATATATATATATATATAAATAATATAAAATAACAAAAAACAATAACAAGTATATACAACAATAAAAATAAACAATATATATGAAAGTAAAAGGTAAATAAATACTTAAATCTCAACAAAGAACGCTTCTAATGTCATTGTGATCTAGTTAATTCAAATTTATAATCAAAAAGATTCAACAGGATAAGGAAAGCCTACGTCTCAGTGAGTTTTCATAAAGCCATTGAAATTTCAGTTATTTCATGGATCACACTGTCCAACAAATAAAAACATTCTTCTCAACTCAGTTTCCCATTGCAATTTGGCACCTCATGATCCTTCATCAACCATTTGTATCTTCTATTTCAATTAGGGTTTCTTTCCCGGGATTCTCGCCGTTTATTCCCTACGAGAAAGATCCCGGGAAATTTTATTTTCCCGGGAAATCTCGCATTTCACTAATAATTTATCATGTCAGGTTTTCTTTCTATTATTTATTATACAAAAAGTTGCATCTTGAAGACTCACCTAAGAGAGAAATTTTGAGGTTTCTTGCTGCATATTACTACCTATGTTTTACAAGTCTCTAATTGTTAGTTCATGTAATATCTATGTATTGTGTTTGCGCATTGAACAGCGGAGACTTGCTGAAAGTAAATATCACTCATCGCACTTTAGTTTATTTTTTATTTCATCTTTAGAGGTAAAATAGTATTTTTTTTCATAATCATTAAAACTCCCAATGAAACGCTTTATTTTACTTTCATCTTATAATGTAGGAGAACATAAGTTAATTGAGCCTAACATGTCCGTATGGGTGAGATTGGCCCTACACTTTTAGTTACTAACTAGAAAATAAATTAAATTATTCAAATTTATGATATTCCTGTATGATCTTTTTTGTTCATATAAAATTCTATTTTACTATCTCATTCCGGAATTTCCCGGGATCACGGGAAAAGAAATTATTTTTCCCGTAATCCCGCTGGAGGCAAATTTCCCGGGAAATGAGAAACCCTAATTTCAATGCTGATGTTCCACAAGTATCACAAATTCCTTTGGCTTAGGTTACTGCATTATTCATTTCTTGTTCCCATTTTCATCTAGAAATGCTTCTAAAGATCTGCATTTAATCCCTATCAACACAAATATTGGCCAATGTTGGTTGAATACTAAATTAAAATATTTCAATATAGTTTCCACTTTATTTTTCAATATTGAGACATTAACTTCTTGAGATTTTTATACCAATATTGTACACTGGTATTGGAGTGATATTTTATACTGATTTTCCTTAATTAAATAACATGTATCTGTTTCATACTGCTTTTGTATAAAAAAAAAATGCATTTTGGGCAAATATCAAACACTCCTCCTCAGTTATACCAATCAGATCATGAGTTGTAATATTCACTGATATTATTTTAAGTAAAATTTTGAAAAAGAATCATGAAATTGTTCAGGATATTTTCAAAATTTTAATAAATTAATCATTAAAAGAAATTTGTGGACTAGTGAATTGTTCTGTAAAATTCAATGAAACAGATTCTTTAATAAATAAAAAAGATAGAAGACAAAATTCATCAATAGTACAAATCTGAATAGTTGTACAAATTCCTCACACAAATACAATGGTACAATAATGCCATAAAAAAATTCCCCTTTTATTTATAATTGTCAGCCATGCTGTTTTTTTGATAACCCAAATTTTATAAAAGGAATAGCAGACTGAACTTATTTGAGATAGGAAATTTGTTTTTGTAACATTTCATATGAAGTTTATTATGATTAATATCATTTATTGATTCAGTTTATTAATCAGCAAGGAATTAAAAATATGGCTAATTATTATTGTTGCAAAGTATTATACCATATACACTATATTGCCAGAAATGTCTGGACATCACCTGGAATGTATACAAAATCATCCATGTGTCAAAGATGCAAATCCTGATGCAATAAAAGGACCATGAACCCATAGTAGATGTGTATTACGGTTATTGTATCAAAATGAACAAACAACAAACAATTGAGCTGAGTGAGGCTGAACATGGTATGATTATTGGCATCCATCAATTTAGTCATTCTATCCATGAGATTTCTGGGAAGTTCCAGATACTGTATTCAACAGTGAGCAATGTCATAGTGAAATGGAGACATGAAGGAGTTATAATACCCAAAACCCAACTTGGAAGGCTGAAAATATTGCCAGATCAGGATCACAGATGCCACATTAAATTTTTGTTATGATTTGATATGTTGTCTCTAGGACCTAGAAAATTATACACTGATGACTCAACATGGTATAATCCTCAGGGTCCAACTGTATTGTATGAAGTCACATTGAAAGAAGAATCTTCATTGCTACATCTATGAACAACCTGTGTCAAGGATGGGCAATCATCTTCAGTGTATGTGCCAAATCACAATGATGCAAAATTTTTGTGCTGAAATTTTTGAAACTATATTATTTGATGCCCTATACTGCAAAAAGTTTTACATATATCAATTCAAGTTAGTCATTTTCTAGCAAGACAATATATTTACAGCCCTGCTGTAAAAAACGATAAAGGTGCACTATTTTCTGAATGTATTGCTCCACTACATCTCATGTACTATGTAGGGATGTCATCAATGTCCCTTGCACCACTACTAGTGGTAATCAAANCAGACATGGGCAAATGCGGCTCTTTTTGAGTTACATGCGGCTCTTGCTGAAAGTGTTAATTTCTGCTTTTTATTATTATTTTTACAATTTTATTTCCACAATTTCGTGGAAATATGTTTATTAAAAAAATTCGATATTTGTTTTATATTATATAATAAAATCATGGTACAGAACTGCGGCTCCCATGCATTTTGCAAAACCTACATTTTGGCTCCCACTGAACTCTTGCTTGCCCACCCCTGATATATATGTATGTACACACTTTAGAAACCTGATAAATTCTTTATGAAACACACAAATATTCAACATCTTTTTATATATATATATTTTAAGGTGACCTGTAGGTTATGTGCCAGAAAAAGTTGTTGACATGTCACATTAAGGGTGGGCAGCATGCCAAAAGTTCCCACCCTTAACCTATCTCTCATGGCAGACTGTTTCACCTTATTATTCACTCTAAGATACTCCCTGCCATCAAGTTTGTTCTGACTTTTTCAATGTCAGCACACCCAAAAAGTTGAACTATGTTTAGGAAATGGTAATACAGTGGTACCTCAGGATACGAAATTAATCCGTTCCGAAACTGAGATCGTATCATGAAAATGTCGCAAGGTGAATCATCTTTTCCCATATGATTACATGTAAAACTAAATAATTCGTTCCAACGCAAAAAACATACTCAAATTAAAGCCAAGTAATACATTAAAAAAATAACTGTAGTAAGAAAAACAAATGAAAAATGCGAACTAATTAACGTCGTATGGTGAGTTTTTGTTCGTATCGTGGAGCAAAAATATGTTCGAATTTCATGTCGTATCCTGAAAATTTCGTATGCTGGGGTGTTCGTAACCTGAGGTACCACTGTATAACCAGAAAATATTGCAAATTGAGATAATTGATTTTAAACTGTGATGTTAACTGCCAATTTAAGTCAGTAGTCTACAATAAAAAATAAAAACAGCAGGATCTGAATTGGCTGGAAAACAAATTATGCTGTCTACATTCTGTTGAAGCAATTACTGTATATCAAGTTGTCAGTGTAGAATGTAAATGAACTAGTTAATTCTGCAAGATATACCTTCAAAGCAAGTTTTTTTTTCCAATAATTGAAGATCTATTTAAAGATAAACATGTTTCTGAGGATAAAATACATATATAAATATCCCAAAGCCTGATGTATTGATGATAAACCAAAAGACAGCCTTAATTTATCAGGCTACTTTATGCAACAAATAAACAGCCCGGTTAAGGCTGTCATTTGGTTCTGAGGATGATTGCATCACGGATCAAGTCATTTTAAGGGTTATTAGCTAGCCATTCTTAGGTATAAAATCTTAAATCTATTATAGAAAATAAAAAATAAATTTCAAATAAACATCATTCAACAAATAAAACTGAGCTAAAAGAAGCCATTGTAAATTCCTGGATTAAAACTGCCACTAATAAATGCAGAAAGACATGTAGAATTATTATCCATCAAGAATTTAAACTGTGATAAATATGTGAGACCAAATAAAATGTTAAAATGATTATTTAATTTATAATTCTAAGTTTTTTAACTTTAAAAGCTGATTTTCTTTAGCTTAACAAGCAACGTTCTTCTTTACATCCAATAAAAGCATGAAGTGTAAAACAATTTCTGTTTACAATTTTCTTTGAATTATGTTTGATACTTGGAATTGTTGCATTTTCAATTCTAATTCTCCAACTACTATTTATTATTTGTAATTGTCATCACTCACATTCAATGTACAAAACCTGGTTTAGGAATTGGTATGTTATATGAATCTAACTTATTGTTTCAGTAGAAATTTCTTCACTCTTTTTGAATGTCACAAATTAAAAATACTATTCAATGAATGAAATTATTTTTAATTCATAGCAACAAAGAGTGTAATGGAGAAATTTATTTTTAATGTATTATTGTTTCTAAATTTTATGTGTAAGTTCAAAAAGTTATGTTTACAAGTTTTTATTGTAAGTTCTTTAATTAAGAAAACAATTATAATAATAGCACTTAATATAAATTATTAAATTTATTTTAAAAATTTTATTGAATATTAGACAACTGCTTTTAATTTAAAAGATTCCAATACTCTTGAACATCTTGGACAGAGTTCATTTTCTTTTTTTGAAGCGTACCTTCTACATCGAGAACAAAACTTCAATTTTGCTGACAGAAGAAAAACTTTGAAATCAATTGGATTATCACTGTGACATTGTGACAATATTACGTTTCCATAACTAATTTTTGCATCCTTAGGTACAGCTTCTGGTAAATGATTTGTCAATGTTATCTGTGACATTTGCAACAGTTCACATAACAAAGAATCAGTACAAGTTTTATCATTATGCAACATTTTTAGACAATTATATAAATCATCAGTTGTATGTATAATAGCATCAAATTCTCTTGGATTTATGTCAGTTATTTTGTTTATGGCACTTTTAATACTTTGTACAGCATACAATATCTCTGCAACATCTTCCTGTAACCATTTGTCACTACACTTTTTCCAACCTATTTTAAATATTTCTTGACTATTTGGTAAATATTGATAAACTTCTTCAACTAAATGAGGTGTAAATGGGGCTAATACACTTGTTAAAGCAGTTAAAATATGATAAAAAGTTGTTTGACAAGATAATCTAGTTTCAGAATATTGTTCTTCACAGTATAGCCTATCTTTCACAGTATTGAAGTAAAATGATATATCATTTGTGACAAAGTTTAATATGCGTCGCGTTATGTGTCCATAATTGAAATTATCATATAATTCTGCCATTTCTTTCATGAAATTGTAAATAAGATGTAACATGTAACGATCTACAAGATTTAATGATTCAAAATTACGCAAATTTGTCACAGTATCAAACTGGTTAAGATTACCTATCAAGAAACGAAAAACATTACGAATTTTATTTAGATTTTCAGCACATTCCTTGATGACATGATCACTCACTAAACAATTATCAAAGTGACAAGCATGAGCAGCAACCCACCATCGTAATACATCTATCCCATAAGAAGGATTGCTTTTGTCACCTTTGATAATTAAATTTGGACTAACAACATTTCCAACAGACTTTGACATCTTTCTTCCTTTAGAGTCTAAGGCAAATCCATGTATAAATAATGATTTATATGGTGGTTTATCCTGCATAGCAACACTAGTCCAAAGAGAAGACTGAAACCAACCTCTTACTTGATCAATACCTTCCATGTAAAAGTCTGCAATATGATCATTTGGAATTACATTGTACCAACTGATTCCACTATCAAACCAAATATCAAGAATATCATTTCCTCTTCTGTAATTGTCATTTATTGGCAACTGACTGGCTTTTAACACTTTTTCTGGAAGCAATTCTTCTTCAGATAGTGACCACCAACAATCAATATTTTTATCAGTAAATAATTGTTTTAAATGATCAATAATTGGTCTAGTAAGTACTGGTTCTTCATTCGGTAATCTATAAAATATTGGTACAGGAACACCCCAGACGCGTTGACGAGATATGCACCATAACGGACAATTTTTTATAGTGTCATAAAGCAATTTCTTAGCTATTGGAGGATGTGTAGAAACATTATCAAGACACGATAAAACTCTTGGTTTTAGGCAGTCTGTATTAAAAAACCACTGCCTGCTGGCTCGAATTATGACCGGTTTTTTACTTCTCCAATCATACGGGTAACTATGTTCATAATACGTTGTATGCAACACATAATCTTTAAATAATTTTAATACAGTTTCAGTGCCAGTAGTAAATATATTTAATCCATCTAATTCTTCACCAGCCAATTTTGTGAAACATCCATCCTCATCTACAATACATTTGGTAATAGGTATTTTGTTTTGCAAAGCAATAGAATAATCTTCATGGCCATGATTTGGAGCCATGTGAACTAAACCTGTACCTTTTGACATAGATACAAAACTGTTTTCAACAAAAGGAAACTTACTACTTTGATTTAAAGGATGACTGTACATAACATTTTTCAATAAATTACCTTGAAATATTGTAAGAATTTGTAATTCTATTCCTAGTGTTTTCTCAAAATCAGAAATTAAATCACTTCCAATAATAATTGTACTGTTTGATTTAATTTTTGCTAAACAATAATCTTTATTAGATGCAAAACCAATTGCCTGATTAGCAGGCAATGTCCAAGGTGTGGTCGTCCATATCACACCATGCACCTTCCCATTGTTAAGATAATTCTTCAAAAAATCTGGAACATTAACTAGAGGAAACTTTACATAAACAGATAAGCTCTGGTGATCTTCATGATATTCCAATTCGGCCTCTGCCAGAGCAGTTCTATTCACTGGAGACCAATACGTAGGTTTGTAATCCCGAAATATCAATCCCTTTTTGTATAATTGGTAAAATAATTCAAGTTGTCTTGTTACATAAGAAGAATCTAAAGTCTTGTAACAATTATTCCAATCTCCTATTATTCCCCATTGTAGAAAACTTTTCCTTTGCTCTTTCACAACCCTTTCAGCATATTTTTTAGCTTTACTTATAATTTCTAATGGCGAATGGAATCTGTCCAAAACATCCGTATCAATGGCCTTCATTTCTATAGGTAACCCATGACAGTCCCATCCTGGTACATAATGAACTTTGTAACCACGTAAAATTTTATAACGATTTGTTATATCTTTGAGAATTTTATTAATAGCATGACCCATGTGAAGTTCGCCATTAGCGTACGGAGGCCCGTCGTGTAATATAAACATATCATGTTTATTATTTTCCAATTGCCAATCATATAAAGAAGAAAACTTGGCTTTCTCCAGAATTTCTTGATCTCTAGAAAAACGTTTACTCGAGTCGATTCGATGTGGAAATTTAGTTTTTGGTAACAATACAGTTTTAGAAAAATTATCGCCTCGATCACTCAAGAAACGGTACGAGTTTTTTCGAAAATAAATTAATTTCCTTCGACTTAAAATCAGAACGAAATTCATTATTATTCAAAATGTTTATATCGTAACCGCAAACATCGACACATGTTATTTAATATAATGACCTCTAGCGTAGATAAACATAACTATTTTATATTTTAAAAATATTTAATTCAATTTATTTATTAACGTATATATATATATATATTTATGTATAAATAAAAATAATACTAAATAATAATTTCGTTCAAATTCAGTTAAGTTGATTTTAATATTTAAATTATTAAAGAATAATTAAATTTCTTATATATGTAAAGATTAAAAAGGCTTATAAAGTTTCCAGGCGTATAGTACTTTATTTCAAAGGTTAACCTTTATTTTAGCTAAACTGTCTTTGTCCTTCATTGAAACAAGAAAGTGCCTAATTTATCCTATATTTTCATTTTTTAATGCTCTTGTTTCGTAATGGCAGTGGTGAATTTTCGTACAGGCTTATGCCTATCCTTATTTATCAATCCATCCTTCCTCATAGAAAGCTATAGCTATGGCTTACCCAATGAGATATAATATACTACATAGAATGGCTGTAGTGACTCCATATTTAAAAAAAAATTGAATACACGTCCGCCATTTTCTTTTTAGTCAAGGTGCGTGCCATTTGTGTGTACAGGCAACGAGCTAGAATATCTAATTCGTTGCGTAAAGGTGTGTAAAGGAAAGGAAGAGCTTTAATGTGACGTCATGTTTAGCGAATTTGGTAAGCTCTGAGTGCTTGTCGGCCTATTCAAAATCTCAGCATCAATCCAGCGAGATGCTGCCGGAAGTGACGCAACTGCTGGCGTTTTCTACAGAACACAAACGCTGACTGCCGGGAATTTCGGGAAAGAAAAACAATAAAAATGGCGAATGATGTGGACTTCCACGTTAAGTTAAATGATTTTTGAACTTCTCTAATTAGAACAGATTAATAAAAAAATAAAAATTTCGAAAAGAGAAATAGAGATAAAGATATTTTAAAATCAATAGGTTTAAATAATTAAATCAATTTTAAGATTTAACAACTAAAAAACACTATGTGATGTCTCAGATAAAAATACTAGTACAGTATCTATATACAGTAGAGCGTCGTTTATCCGAAGGAATTCCTGTCGACAAATTTAAATTTTCGCCAGTGCTGTGGCGCTGTAATCTTTGGCTATGTCTTCGGCTACTCAAATATTTTACGTTTTTAATACTAAATTAACTTCTGAAGTATAATTTTTTATTGTTTTTATATTTTTCAATATATTTA